ATATTTCTTTCAGTTCTGACAGCGCTTTAATGTGTTGTGCTTAAAAATTATGTATTTTGAATTTGAATGACTACGGGCCGTGTTTGTGTTGTTGCAGAATGACCTTGCAAAACTCTGGCGGGCTGAAACTGAAAGGAGCGTGCCTGCTCATAAATGGTGTTTTTCTCCTTCCCCTTCCGCTTCCCCTTCCCCTTCTCTTTTTCGTTTTTTATTTATTTATTTTTTTTTTTTTTTGCATGTGTACGCCGTGTTATTGCATCTGTTTATACGGTGGTGCCACCTTGAATTTCAATTGAATTGAAATTTCAGCGTATAAAGCATCGAACATCACTGGAGACCGATTCCAGCTGCCACGCTCCACTGTTGCAGGCAGGCAACAAGCAGCAAGCAGCAAGCAGCAGGCAGCAGGCAGAGCAACGGACTGCTCCTAAATATAATAAGCATTTAAATGCTTTGACGAGTCACGGACAGAACTGTTAGGCTGCCCCACATATATACTTATATAGTACATGTTTATCGGGTGGCTAATGAATATTACAGTACCCTGTGTCCGCTGTGCCAAAAATACGAATATATAAGAGGCGAGCAGTATATATGTATGTATATACTTGTGCATATAAGTGTGTGCAGTGTGGATTGCGTGGGTTGCACCAATAAGTATGCTGCATAAAATGAAATTAGGTTATGCATATTTGAGAGGACTCAGCCGTTCCTCCGCGTCCACTCGTGTCTCTTACCCAATGTTGGGGATAATCATGCCTTAGCTGCAGCACAACACAGACTGCATACTGCCATTAAATATTCCATTTGCTTGAGTTTCACTTTTTCAAGCAAATATATACAGATATGCATGCAAATCCGTAAAGATGATTTCCGTTGTCAATCCAACCCAAAAACAACAAAATGCAATTAGTGACAAACAAAAAATGTTATCCACTAACGACTCACTTATTTTTTTTTGGAGCATATCGTAAGCGATATTTGTTGGCCATAATAGGTATTTGCCATGCCGGCATTAACGTGTTTACACTTCGTATACTTTATATAATGGCTAATGCGCTTAAGGAAGAGAAATGATATCAGTCTGGTCGTAATAGACTTAGGGGTTGGGGTTGGGGATTGGGTTGCGGGTGCGGGTGCGGGTGTGGGTGTGGGGCATGGTCAAATAAACTAGTGTACCTACATAATTATTCGTACATAGGCGTATGTATGTACATAAGCGGGATAATGCATGGGGATTTCAATCAGGACTTTTCCATTTCCAACTCCTTGGGGCTGCTGATTCATTCTGTCAATCGCCACACTTCAGAGTTGACTTTATTCGCCCACTTGCATGTGAATTGAATTCGTGTGTTTATATTAATTGCGTTGGGCTTTACGGCTGCATATATACATCTACATCATATATATATATATATATTTATATATATATATATATGCCACATTTGCATAGTAATCATAATTTGATGGGCATCTCGTGACATTGAAGTCTTGTATATAATAATTGCGTTATTCACTGCTTTGTGTGCCGAACTTGTAATTCATTACGTTTACAGAATCACACACACACACACACACTCACACATATGCACACATACATACATACATATATGTATGTATAAGCATTGCGCTGCACTTAGTTTTGTTGTTTTGCTTGTTTTTCTTTTCGTTTTTTTGTTGTTGTATTTTTTGTATTTTTTATGGTTTTTTGTTTTTTTTTTTTTAAGTCCCCGCGCAAAAACAATTACGAGCAGAACTACACAAAAACAAAACGTAATCGTTGCGATTGCAGAGACTTCGTCGACTGTTTACTTGCCAGGGTCGCGTAGTTCCTTTAGTTGTCCGCACAGCGCGACGTTCCGCAACCAACTAATGCGGCGGAGGACAGAGTTGGTCGTTTAAAGGACGAGGGCGACCAAAATGGCATTGGTCGTGCAAAAGCTGAGAAAGCATGCTTGATAAGGATAACGGCCCAAGGACACTCAAAGAGAATTTGGATGCGTGTTGAGTTTCAATTGTAAACGCATGCAACACTCTCTCTCTCTCTCTCTTAATTAATTTGCTTAACGTCACTTTGAGATACTGAGGGATGATGAGATTCAGTGCCGGAGACGCCAAAACATTTCACCTACTTTCTACCACATAGTGTCCATCAGTACCAAGCAGTTAGAATGCTCAGGAGCTGACTGTACGACTAAAATGTAAGCAAAACTCGAGTAATTTCTATACTATTGAAGAAGCTAATTGTATTTGAAAAAAATCGTGCTTAAGATCTTAAGAGTTTAAGCATTTTCAGCGTGACTTACTTTTGAAGCACGCCTCTTGTATGAAAACACAGAAGAGTATGTCTGTTGCTCTCATTCTCTTCATTTGGCTATGCACATTTGCAACCCAGAGAGCGAGCACGTGAGTTTCTCTTTCTTTCTTTCTCTTTCTTTTGGGCTCTCTTAAATGTGCTTGCTTGTGCTGGAGGTAGAGAGCTTTTTGAATGCTTTTTGCGATAAGCCATTGGTAAACAAACATTACGTTCATTCATGGAAACAGCAACAACAAATTTTGTTCATACCCACCAAGCGCAGAGTTTTAAGCATTCATACACACATATTTGCATAAACTCTTGTATATAATACAAACAAACATATAAACATGTACATGAAACGCGCCGCAAATTCAAAAAAATATAAAAAAAATTTAATCAAAATAAAAAACTTATGCTGAAAAGCTCAAGCGGCGCCATGTGCCAGCAGCAATGAGTCATTCTGCGTGAATGTTGTTGTTATCGCAAATCATGGTTTACATTTCGTAGTGTTGGGGAGAAGTCGAATTATTGATGTGCAGTCGCACCTCATAGATGCTAGACACCCACCCACCCACACACACACACACACACACACACATGCATACATATTTAACAAGTATGACAATCAAAATTCGCAATATATAAATATATAAAATTGATACAAGACCATTTATAGCATATAATATAACGTCATATACCATATTTTTATTTATACTCACAAATAAATAAGTACGTAAATATGTATGTATTAAGTAAACAGTTTTGTATATTTTTATCCTATATAAACATATAAATGTTTTTATGCTTGTTTATGCTCTTCTTACGACTTTATGCTTTAGTCATTCAAATACTGGCTGTTGTGACACGCCTTTAAAGCTCTAAATTCCGCCTACTGCGCCAGCGCTTATTGTTGTTGTTCTTCCGTTAATTGCGAGGGCGGATTAAATACTGATTCTTTACCCACCCCGCCCCCTTACTTAATTGCAAATGAATATCCTTAATTCGTCTAATTGATAATGTATATAATTAAAGATACATTTGTAATGACCGTAATTAAACTACAGAAATGAAGTAGAATCCTAAAGTAAACCATGCAAGGCTAAACAATGTTTTATTATTATATGAGGAGCAAGGTCCATATCTGTTTGATCTACCCTCGCGTATGCCGGCTTCGACGCGACACTGTCATTGCCGCTGGCAAACAACAATATGGACGACGACTTGCAGTGATTCATCGCACAATACTCAGCGGCGATACATGCATATGTATAATATATATATATATATATATGTATACATTATATATCTGTAGATATATGTGCATATGTTTGTATAAGATTCCAAAATAAAAGTCTCCGTTCGACTTGCATGCAGCATTCGTGGAATAAGCGTGACCGGAGTTGCCACAGATTGTACGCGAAAATCACTCGGCAACAAGATGTGGAAGGGAAAAGCAAGCCATTGATCTCTTGCAGATATACCAGTGACACTTGAGCACGAGTAAATTATGCATACATGCATATGTTTAGCATTATAATTTTATATAGATTTTTATTCGATCAATGAAAACATTGACCTACTGCGATTAGTTGTGCACTATTCCTTGATATATCGGTTCGAGTGGTGGATGATTCACTCATAAGAAAGTTGAAAGCTGCTGTATGAAAATCATTTTTGTTTTGAATGCCCGCTTAATCAGGCTGAACAAATATTAGCTTTATTTTTTTTAATCATCAGTCGAAACAAATGGCAAATCAGCAAGGGTATTAAAGCTTCGCCACTCTGAGATTATCAGTTCTTTTTCATTTTATTTATAGCAATGTTACCGAAACCAGTTTCTAAATCGCAGCTTGCCCTGTGTCCAAGGTTAATCGGTTTGAAGGTCTGCAGTTGCCAAATACTTATCAACATTGAGGAATGAGAAAAACATAGAAAAACTGTTATCAGTGGACAACAGCTTAAGAGTGTACACTGAAAACAATTTAAAATGTAAATGAGTGAGTAATTGATGAACAACATGTTTGCCACTAATTAATAAATAAATGGAAAAGTAACTAGAATTACAATTGGAATGTATTCATTAATAAATGAAAGCAATTGAGTTTGAATTCATTTGCTATATAGTATAGTAGTAAAATAGTCGTTTATTTGAATTACAATTTGAATTCATTCATGATTAATGAAACATAAGCGAATTGCGATTTTTGTTTGCATTGAATTTCCAGTTCTATTATTATTATTATTATAAGGCCTAAGCAAGTCCGAAATAAAGCAGGCGATTGTCATCATCACGCAAGCTCAAGAACTCAACGCCAGCGATGATGATGACGTAATGAGCAACGTTTCCGGCGCACGAAATGACGGTTTGCTATCGAGCTAGTTGTCGCTGTGTATTTTTGTTCTTGGCTATGATTAATGCCCCCACCGGGCAGGAGTTATGGTATGGAGTTTATATATATGACCAATAAGTTGTGGCTGATAATTGTCTGGGGTCTTGAAGCGCTAACGATAACATTGATAAAATTCCCTTGGCGATAAGATTGTTTCATGTGGCGCATGCGCAGCATGAAGCCCCAATTGTTAAGCGTAACCCATTTCGAAACGCACCTGTTATCGCGCCCAGTTGCGGGCTTATCTTATCTTTGTGTGCCTAGGTAGATTGCAAAAGCTACAGAATTCGTTTCAACTTGTTTCCAAGCTTATATCAGTAAAGCAGCATTCAGTTGACTAGCGACAACCTAACGAATACGAATACAAATCCGAATAACTTGTACTTTCAGTGTGTGACTAATTTAAACAAACGCCAGAAATAAAAGAAATTAGAATGGTATCTGTGGAAACAATTGGTTCGATTTTCATCAAAGGTCTTAAGCTGGTATGTCAAACATTTGTGCAAAAAGAACGTATCTTTTTTCCTGGAAAAAATATGAAGAAAAAGAAACAGTTTTCCTTCTTCAGAGATGATTGCTCAACGCAAAAAAAAATGTTGAGCAATACGAGTAACTGCTGTTGGCCTTATCAGTGTGGTTATCAGTGTGGTTATAATAGATTAGTAATATTACTCATGTGTGCGAAAAGCACAAAAAACCAAGTGCGGGTCGCGACTGAGTGCGCAATAGCTGTGCCCAAAGCTCTGCAGGGCGGGGCTCACCAATTCTGATCATTGCAAGGCAATATAATTGGAATGATTCATTAAGTAGCATTGAACACACTCGTGAACTGTAATACTTTCTATTTTACAGATCATCAATTTGGTGATCATCTGCCTATATCGGTGGGGAGATGGCGGCGAATTCCTTGGCATTGGCGGCACATGGAACCTCAACGAGGAGAAGAGCGCCGATGCAGAAATCGTTGCATCCGGTGTGATGGTCGGCTTCCTCATCTACACTGGCTGCCACACAATTGCCTATCTCTTTGGCACCACCAAGCACAAGGGGTAAGCCACTCACTAACGATACTTTCCAGGTGTGTCTAGTCTAATTGTGATCTGTTTTTAACGTGTTTATCACAGGGAACTGTGTGACACCATCATGAATGTGGTGGGCACTATCATGTGGATCGCTGTCGGCGGTGTGGCGCTGCATTACTGGAAGGGCTACATGTCCGATGAGGGATTCCTGTATGTCAATTCGGAGCGACAGGTGGGCATTGCCATGGGCTCGCTGTGCGTCATCGAGGGTGCACTCTATCTACTGGATACTGTATTGGCTTGCATACACTATTCCAAGGGCGACACCGACTACACAAAATAATCGAGGCAGCTTGTACAAATAATATTCGATTAGTTTCAAAAATGAAGAGCGCCGCTGTGGCAACTGCCGAATAACTGACAACTTTATATAAAACATACATACATAACTATGTACATTCAGTTAACTCTAAGTGCAAATTAGTTCTTAACCCACTTATCAAGCCACTTGTGTATGAATCGTTTATCATTTTATAATTACACACAAACCAACAAACACATACACACACACACACACACACTAATTATTCAAGGGCCGTACTCTATCCATCTATTATTTACACTAACAATCCCATTATTTTTTTGTAACTGTGCTCCAGCATTACACTTTGGCAAATACAAATTGTTAAGATCAAAAATTGCGTCATTATTTGATGGAGTTTTTCTCACAGTGTCAACTACCTACAACTGATAGAGAACTAGTCCCATTTGTATATAGTTTGTCATTGTGCATTGAGTCATTTAAAATGCTGAGCAGCACTTGTATATTTTAGTCGTTTGTAGACCCTTGAACTAGCCAAATTATTATTCATAGTGCGACACTCTTGCCTTAATAAAATGAAATGATTTCAGGTACGTCCATGTAGTCTCACTGCATATACCAAGATGTATATGCTAATATGGAATATATCAGTTTGTTTTATCTATACCTAAAGGTCTTACATAAACGTAGATAAAATTAAATGTTTTTATATCTAGAGTTGTGAACGATTTGATTGATTATATAGCCTTAAATCTGGGAGTATATTTCGCATACAAACAAACAAACAGAAAATGCAATGAACTCAGGGGTTAACGGTGCTGCTCACTGTTATCGATATATATCGGCACATCGACCATGCGATCACTCGGTTGAAACAGAAGCGATCAATCATTCCGAATAAAGAATGAATAGTGGAAAAAGGTGTTTGTAAAAAAAAATTACTTAAAACTTATCTGTTACATAAGCTAACAATGAAATATCCTATTTGTAGATGTTTTTAAATGCAGAAATGTAACATGTACTTGATGTCGGCTAAACTTGAGGTATATAAATACACCATCGCTATAAAGCTCCTGTCTATCTCTCTCTCGATCCTTAAATAACTAAGCGTGTTTGAATCGAGAATAACTCACCTGTTTTATGGGCTGCCCGCGCCCATCCACGATGTCGCGTTGCTGCTTGAAACTGTTCGCTCTGACAACACGCAGCGCACAGAGGGAACAGCGCCGACTCGCGGAGCCATCCTCGAGGTTGAGGGCATCGTAGAGCATCGGCAGATCCTGAATGTACGAGTTGCGGGATCGCTGATTGAGCAGCTCGAGCGTGCGCGAATCCAGACTCTCGCGATACACATTGTGCACCCGGTCCAAATTGTGCTCATAGTCCGTGTCCAGATTGAAGGAGCTCTGGCTCTGGCTACTCTTGCGATTGATCACAGAGTTGCTGTTACGCTTGCGACGCATCACCACCGTTCTTGGAGAGCTCTCCAGCGAGGAGCTAGCGAACGAAGGTGTACGCGGCAGAGGCGACGCTGCATAGGATTGCTGCTGTGGGGTGGTTGTGGCAGTTGCTGGTAATGGCAATTGGGGAATGGCTGGCATCGGTTGCTCGGCGAGACTCATTAATGATTGCTGTCGCTCCAGTTGCTTCTCATAGCCATTGAACTTGTCATAGTCAATGAAGGACATGTTCGCATAGCTGACCATATTGTCGATGGCCTGAAGCGATTGCAACGATGCGCTCCACTTCGGGTTCATTTTGTCCTTCTTCTTGTCACCGCTGCCGCCGCTGTGGCTGTTTGTGGTGTTGGTGTTGCTACCGCTGCCAGCACTGCTACCACCAACCGCCGCACCAATGCCCAAACCCGCCCAACTGCTTTTGAAGGAGGCGATTAGTGTGTTCGAGCGACGCTTCTGAAAGTTCTGCTGCGGATTGGGCGCCAGCGATATTGTCGACGCCTTGCGCTGCGTGCTTGTCTCCGGCGACTCGTCGAGAGGCGTCGAGGTTAGCGCCTGGGTGGACTGTCGGCGCGTTGGTGTTTTCACTGAGCTGGCCGTATCGGCGCGTCTTCGCAAAATGGGTGAATACGCATCGAGAGCTGTGCCAGTGTCCGCGATTGAATTCTTGCGCGGTGATGCCGGCGACATGGGATCCCCAGATTTCTCCGCCTCCTCCGATAACTGTTCCAGCTGCGGCTCAATGAAACTGCGACGATTCGGTCGTCGCAACAATATCATCGAACGACTCCGTGTAAAGGTGAATGGCGTCTTGCCAGTCTCATCCTTGGACTCATCGGTGCGTGTCAAATTCTCCTTGCTGCCAGTCAAATGATTGAAGAGCTTGGACAGCTTGCCACGGAAACTCCTTGTACGCTCCATAATGGGCAAGTTCTCGTTGCTGGGCGCCGATGTCATCTGGGAACGACGCTCCGCCTCGTATTGCTCCTTGAATTTTTGTGTAATATTTGTCGTTGCTGGCGCTGCGATTCCTCCCGCTCCAATCGTTGACTGTGAATTATTGTTTTGCACCATTGTGTTATTGTTATTGTTGTTGTTAATGTGATTGTTGGCATTTGTATCGTTTGATTTAGCTTTTGCATTCGTGGCTGGTTTACTGATCCCATTTTGTTGCTGTTGTTGTTGCTGCTGCTGTTGTTGTTGCTGTTGTTGTTGCTGTTGCTTTTGTTGCTGCTTTTTATTTGTCTTTTGCAATTTCTTTTGTCCCTTTGCGGCACTTTTGGCCTCTTTACTGGAGTTCATTTTGTTGCCAATTAACTGGAAAATAAAGAGCGAGATAGATGATAATAACATATATAACACATTGCTGGAAAGTAAGTGTATTATTAGCCCAGTGTAACTCTCTTGGCAGCGATATCTCTTATCTAGAGTAAGCTCTATATAATTCGTCATTCCAATGTTGGAAAAAAGCGCCTGAAACGAATGTGGATAATGATATCTCATTTGGTGGTTGACTTGTCTAATCTATTTCTGGGCCAACAGCACATAAAAACACTGAAATTTAAAAATTGTATTGCTCGGTTAGCTAAACGCTGAAAATACCCCGTACGACAAGAAGAAAGATGACTCTTGAAGTTGAGCTGAATATTAAAATGGTCATTTTAATTCTTATGAATCGTTTTCTGTCTCTTCAAATCCTTTTACTTACTATCTCCAAAGAGAAGTTAGCGACGAATCAACTACTGTGCACAGCAGATAAGAACTCGATGAAGCGGAACTCTTCGCATCAACTCTCCATTGCCGTTTTAAATGCAAGCCATGCCAAGCAAGTTATGGAGATAAATTTTAGATCTTGACAGCACTTGCTGCTGCTGCTTCTGCTTCTGCTTCTGCTGCGTGCAGCTCGTGAATTTAGTGCGACATTTTTGATTTGTGAGCTTGGCCTGTAGGGAATAGTAGAACACTAGTGTAAGCAGTAATTGATAGCACCCGGATGTATCATTAAACACGAGGGCTGCCAATCGGCTAGTTTTTGCAAAACTGGCGATATCACTTTGGGCAGCAGTGGGTCGGTTGGACGGCTTTGACAAAACGGCGCAAAAAAAGTAGGGGGATTGAGTGTTGTGTGTTCATTGTGACAGCAACAACACGAACACAAAGAGCCAATTTGTTATCACAAACAATTGTGTTCACCCAGTAAAGCTCAAAAACAACAGTTAACAGTGTGATAAGATTTGAAAAAGCCATAGACAAATGCACTTGTCTGCGTACTTGGCAATATGCCATTTTATTTACCAGGTTGAGGTCCACAATTTGACAAAAAAAAAAAACAACAAAAAATGGAACTAGTAGCACTTAAACAAAGACCGCCAAACTAGATATAAGTTAGCATGTTTAATAAGTACATACAGACATAAACAGATAAATACATATGAATATATATATATACATGTTAATTACGCTCAAGCAACAAATCAAGAATTATTGGCAGTAAAAACTTTGTTTAGAGTACTTTTAATTGCACACAACAGTTTTATATGTGGTATTTCTATTTGGTTGCGGTTAAATATTTCAAATATTAAGTCATCATAAGTTTAATCTTTTTTTTTTGTTTTTCTTTTGTCGTTTTTGAGCAACACTTTGCCAAAACGTAAAAATAGCCCTTGCACCTCATTAGTGGAGTGTAGGTTTCCCAAACTGAATTTACACACGTAGGTAACGGAATACTAATTACAAACGTACTCCAGCAAACAAAGAATCGAGTATCGATTTCGGTTACTTTAATTATTCGTTACGCTACGTTCTCCAATAGAAATTCATACGCTGGCGCTAAGCGTTTGTTGACTGACACTACAAAGGTAGGAGAGTCATGGGAGGAGAAGTATTTGGCAGTACTTGATTACTCGTCGGTACTTTACGAATACATTTATCGTACAGCTGTTAATTGAATTAACATAGTTGCAAGAGTATTTGATGGTCGGCAAACAGAGCAGGCCGCATCTGTCTTATTTTCTCTTTTGCATCGTAGCTGAGCTGATGATACTGATGCATAGATCCGTATAAGTATTATTTTACAACTTGCTGTGCACTTCTCATGCACATTGTTGTACAAACATTGGGAAACCAGTTTTGCGGTTTTAATTGACGACTCATTGTTGTTGTTGCAGCAGCAACAGCAACAGCAGCAGCAGCAGCAACAGCAGCAGCAGCAGCATCGAGATATTGACACTGGCCGACTGACTGACGATCGATTCATAGTCGTATTCGTATTCGTATTCGTTTCAACTATTAAATGATGACACTTACCTGGAAGAGATGTGCAAAGGTATATAAGCTATTTAATCATGTTGATTTCCATACAAATATTTTCTAAACAAATATGTGCTGCAGAAAGCCTCAAAATTGTATTACTGTTAGTCCAATACAAACAAATTGCTTTTCTTTTAAATTTGGTGTGTTTGCTCTGCGATTTATCGATCTGCATTTAGTGATTCCAACCATTTATGTGCATTTCAAATGCAACTCTGTTCTTATTCCCAACATGTTTGAATTTGATTTTCCACATGTTTATTGCAACTAATTTGTAGCCTTATCAATGTTTATGTTCATTATTGTTGTGATTTGGCTGCTTAACCAATTCGTGTATTTACGTTTTGAATTAACATTCGCATATTAGTGCGCCACAAAAGCCACCGTTTTTGGGACTGATCAATGAGGAGCAAATGACTTTGTCCTCGCTCTTTTAACTTGGTATCTCTTTGTCAACTGGCACGACGCACATGTAAACAAAGTCGCAAATTAAATTTGAAAAATATATGCATACATAATAATGCTACGCACGTGTCTGTGTATACACACATATGGCTAAATTATGTACATAAGCATTTAATATTTTGCTAGTTTTTGAGCGGTTTGCTTGCCTGCCGCCTGCCTAGAATATTGCGTGGCCACTTGCGCAACTTGACAACCAGCTGACAACCGCTCAAAAGCGCGCACTCTCTCTCTCTCTCTCTCTACAATACAGCAACTTTTTCTCTTCCTCTCTGTACTTCACTCTCTCTCTCTCTCTCTCTCTGTAAACGTAAGCACGCTTCTCATTTTCAACTCGTTTTCGTTCAAGCTGCGTATGTATGTATATACTTATGTTTGTGTGTGTGTGTACATGCTTAAATACACAAATACTTTTCGGCACTCTGATATTAAGTTTAAATTTATTTTATTTATTAAATTATGTAGCAATATACATTAATGGCTTATATACACACACATATAGATATGCATGTATTTATTTTTTATATGTATAACCACCAGCTGGGTTCACATTTGTCACTTGTTTGCCGGTTCCCCCTTCCACTTTCACTTCCCCACTGAACTTGTCACTTACCAACCGGCTTATTGTCACAATCACAATTGTAATTTGGATTCATTTATCATATGGCACCTTTTTCACTTCACACACTTCGCTAGTAGCGAAATTAAAGGAAACGCTTCGCTTTGCTTTGCTTTGCCTGATACGAATATTCTCTGTTAACAGCGGAGCAACAACGCACAACAAATAAACACCGCGCGCGCGGGTGACTAGCGGTTAACTGATCGACAAGCGCCTCTACAGCTGGAAGCATGGCGCGCAACTGACAAGGTGACGCACTGCGCATGCCCATCCATCCAGCTCTTAGAGAGAAACGTGCAGTGATAGTGACGTGCCGTCCTCTCTCTCTCTCCTGGGTTACAATTGAGCGCGCAACTTGAAACGTGTGCTTGTGTAAATGTGCACGCAATCAGCTTTAATGTGAGTGAACAGGGTATGCCCAAGAAAGCCACTTTATGTTTGAGCTTTGTGGTTTTGATTTACGCGCGGCTTAGTATTTTATCGATAACAATAAGATCTCGATTTATATATGCATGTATGAATGTATTTACAAATTTATTGTATTTTTGTAATTTTAATATGCATTCTAATTCGAATTTTGTAAATACAAGTACATATTATATGTATTTAAGTACTCGCATATGTTCACAATTCATTTGGCGATAAGCAACAGTAATTAATCAACCCATATACGCATGTATAAATCAATATGTATGTGTGCAATCTCGATTAGATTGTATTAACAAAGCTAAAGTCTCTTTTGTTAAATGTCCGTTTATGTGCTTATTTTTAGTTAAGAATGAATCCCGTGCTCTGCGTCGGCTGCACCGTTATTGACTTTGTGACAATCAACGACAACTTTCCCGAGGAGGACACGGACAGGCGATGCCTCGACGGATTTTGGCAGCGTGGTGGAAATGCCTCTAATGTCAGCACCGTGCTGCGCCTACTCGGGTCCGATGTCGACTTCTTTGGCATGCTTAGCCACGCGGGCGCATTCCGTGTGCTGCTCGACGATCTGCATCGGAGGGGCATTGATGTGCAGCACTGTCCCCACACAGAGATGGATCCGCCATTCTCTTCGGTGATTATTGTCAAGGCAACGGGATCACGCACCATTGTGCACTGCAATAAAAACTATCCATATGTGACGTGGCAGGATTTCAGCAAGATCGATCTCAAGCGCTATGGCTGGATACACTTTGAGGCACGCAAAGCGTCCGAAACGATAAAAATGATGAGAGCCGTGCAGGAGCACAATAGGATGAATGAGGAGCGCATCATCATCTCACTAGATTTTGAGTCACTGTTTGAGGCAAATTTGCCGCTCTGCGGTCTGTGCGACTATGTCGTCTTCTCCAAGGAACTCGCCAACCAGCAGGGCTGGCAAACGGCACAGGAAACATGCACGGAACTTGCTCACAGAGTAAAACCCAACTGCCCAAGCATAATTTGCCCGTGGGGCAACACAGGAGCTGTGTGTTTGGATGCCACCACGCAGAATCTTCACAATGGACCCGCCTATGAGCCAAAGCAGATCGTGGATACACTGGGTGCTGGCGATAGCTTCATGGCCGGATTCATATACGCAACGTATGCGTTACGGCAAAGCCTGCCAGATGCTGTGGATCTCGCTAACCGGGTGGCTGGACACAAGATATCCCAATTCGGATACGATCACATTGCGCAACTTCAAAAGGACAACAAGCCAGGAAATATTTGAAATATTTAAACAAAATTGTAGCTATGTATGTATATATTTGTATATAATAATTAAATATGTGCATGATATATTATGAAATAGGAAACAAAACGCTTGAGGGCGTGAAACGATTCACTCAAGCTCCCAATGACAATTACAGCATTCCAAGAATAATAAATAATTGCCCTGAGACTAAGTTGTTTTATGCTTCTTCACTTTTGTTGTACAAGATCTTCACGAAGTGATATCATATATATATATATATATATAAATGATAACTATTGCAATGGTGTCTAAGTAAATGTGGTGAAATCTGGCCAGCCATCAACATCCGCGCTTCCTTTTTTGCCACTGGATGCTTTGCCGCTTTGCAACTAGAAATACATAAAATCACAAATTACGCTATAGACTTCGGAGGTTTAAAATAAATGCAGGTATTTTTAAAAGAATACCTGTAAGCGCAAACGTTTTAATTTACGCAATCTTTCCAGCCAATTGGATGCATACGGGTTCTCCGTCTGTACGCTTTGATAGACCAGCGAGGCCAGCTGCAAAGGAATGGAGTATGGAGTATTGTTAATGTATATCGCTATTGATCGATTAGATTCATTTATCTTCCTTACGTTTGCATGCAGCGCCATCTGGCGGGCAAGTAGTGGAGCACTGCGATCGGAAACAATGCGCGGTTCCGGATGACAGACGAACGTAGAGATCTCTGAACGTGCCTTGACATAGACACGATTCGAATTAAGTTCCAGCGGCTCAACAATCACACAGGCATAGTTAAAATGTCCCTAATAAGCAGGAAATAAATGATTAGGGCTCAATTGAGTTGTGGAACGACTTACGGATATGGTGGTTAGATTATATTCTTCGCCACTTTCGTTGTAAATGATTTTGACAAAGTCGTTGCCAATGTGCTTCTTCTTTTCGTTGCAATTGGGGTCATCCTGCAGATTGGTGGGCATCAATGTGGCCACGTGAAAGGTGACCTACAAATGCAAATAAAATTCATAAATATCCCCTAATTAGTAGTCATCGTAATCATTTACCTGCAATATGTCATCCTTCCAAATGTAGGCAAATTTGCCATCGGCGCCACTCTTGTCCAGACCGATGAATAGGTTATTCTGTTCGGCTTCCTTGAGGCTGACCAAAGTGCCGATGCTACGCAGAAATTCCACGTAACGAGTGCTGCCATAAGAGTTACGCAAAATCTCCACTTCGTTGTTGCACTGATTCCTACCGACATATAGCACACCGATCTTGTGCGTCTCAAATGGCGGCACAAGATCAAATAGTGCCAATGCGCTGGACTGCTCGGGGCCAACCTTAAGCGGTGTCGCGGTTACCTCTAGCTGCCCGGTGCCGTACAGCTGGAGAAAGAGAAAGCTGGGATTCATGCACAGCTTGGCGCTGATTGATGGCTTGGCGGCACCAAAGCTGTGAAAGCTGCTCGCCGGCTGTGGACGTCCTTTGCCGTTATTCACCTCACGCGGCACCGATATGGTCTTGGAACGACCGCGCATCATATCGCCACCACCGCCATTGTTATAGTCGGAGCCGTTGCCACCATTGCCGCTACTATTGGACTTGGCCAGACCCAAGGCAGCACCATAGCTAGTCACCTTAGCGCCTGTCGCAGCTGTTGGCTGTTTGGGTGCGGTCGCTGCCTGTACCTGTACCTGTCCCTGGCCTGGTGACAATGGTGGCTTGCCAACGGCGCCCATTTTAAGCGAGGATGCAGATGCTGAGTTCTGCACCATGCCACCCACTTGACTGCTCACATCGTCGGCGGAGTGCTGCTTGGGCGGCAGAGTGATGGGCGCCGCTTGCAGCGGACATTTCGATGCCTGTGCAACGGACTGCAGCGGCGTTAAGCCGGCTATCTCCTCGGGTATGGCCTCGCAACTGACACGCATATCCTTGGTGCTGTACTGGACGCTGCGTTTCTTTGACGCCAGCTGTGGTTCCTCGAACGATGTCTTAACGGGATCCGGTGGCTCCTGTGAGAGCGGCGCTGGCTTTGCTGCCAGAAACGTCTGACGCCAGCTGGAGCTCATCTCGGGGCTGGAGTTGACACGTCGCACCGGATTGCGGGCACGAATTTGGCCATCGCCAAAGACCAACACATCGTCATCGGCCTCACCGTCACTGACGCTGCCGCTGAGCGCCGCATCTTTGCCACGCTTCGAACGTGGTATGGGTATGTCTATGGCCGCTGTACCGCTAACAGCGCTACCCACGGACGAGTGTATCTCCTCCTGACGCTGCAGTGCACGCGCCTTGGCCACCATTCGGTTGCGTAACTCTGTAGCTGCTGGCACCGTAGCTGGTGCTGGTGCTGGTGCTGGTGTTGGTGCTGGTGTTGGTGCTGATGCCAATGATGGCGTTGGGACTGGTGCCACTTCTGGCTCAGCTGCCTCGGCTTCTACTTCTGGCAGTGTTTGCGCATCCTGCGGCTGTTGCTGCGCATGCATCGGATTGTCGGGGCCAAAGACGCCACCATAGGCAGAGGGTAGAAATAATGAGACCATGTTATTGAACGGCAGATCCTGGCCGAAGCAATCGCTTGCGATGGGATTCTGAATGCGCGTTATCCACGAAATGTTACCGCTCGGACGTCTGACGTACACCTCCGCCCACACAGTGCAGGCACGCGCACAGACCGGCTGCTGCACAACGGAACCGGACTGTGTCGAGGGACTCACGCTTGCCGTCGACAGCGACAACGAATTGCCCAGGAGCGATGTGTTGCTGCCGGTGTGGGAGCCCTCGACCAGATTACCAGCACCACCAGATGCCTCCGGGTTGGAGCCGCGTCGTGGGTATGCGTCCAGCGATACCGTTGAACTGTTCGAGATCTGTCGATGCGGATGACCGCCGGTTGCCGCCGAATTCGATGTGGACGAAGACGTTGTATGATCCGTGCTGCCGGCGCTCTCATTGCCGCTGCTGTGCTGCAAACTCATACGGTTGTAACGGCATTCCCGATCCGGCGGCTGGGCCGCATCGCTCAGACTCTTCGAGTTCAGATTGATGCTGGGCGCCTTGCCCAGCTGAGCGCAGCGCTCGCACAGCCCGTTCCGTGTGGGTCCCGATGGGCAGCCAGCCGTGGTAATCGTAACTAAATTGTGGCCCACCAGCCACGTTTGCGAGACGCCGTCTTTCAACAGATGTTCAATGGCTGGCAAGCTATATAATTTGTATAAAATATATAAATAAATAATCAAGAGAATCAAAATCCAATTCCAATTCACCGCTTGGGCAACGATGGACACGGCGAATAGGTGTGACGTGCCAAAAAATCGAAACAGGTATCCGTCAATTCGGCATGAAAGTTGCGCAACGTTTTGTCCATCCTCAGACGCATTTCATAGTCGTTGCGTGTCGCTGCACTATTCCGGCTGACAAGCTCCGTAAGGCTGGTGCTGCGCTTACGATTCGACGAATCCTCATTCACGTTCACTGAATTGATTTTGACGGTATTCGACTGCAACGCCTGCCAGCAAGCAATGTGAATATTTACGCAACAATAATAATTGTGGTGAGGCATTTACTTACCGACTTGATGTAACCGAATAGATTCTTACGCATCTCCAGTTTACACTTGAGAAACCAGCCCGCAATGACATGGTATGCCAATGATACCGTATAGTGATCGTATCGATCCAGCTTCGTGTATGGTACGGAGATGGCAAACACGTACATGTAGTGCGTGAATATGAAGTTTGTGAACAGATGGTTTGACAGATGATTTAAAACTGCAACGAAGTAGAGATGGTTAAGTGAGTAAGTAATAAACTTGCACATTACTTACGGGATAAAAACTCCAAAACTGGTATGGCCACCGTATTCGTATCGGGTATCTTGCTTATTTTGAGTAGAACATCTGGCAACGTGCGCATCATCGCCTCCGGCATCTCCAGTATGAGAATGGTCATCGCGTTGATGCAGACAGTGCTGCTGGCCGTGTTGCCAGTGAGGATGCGGTTTTTCAGTGACGAAATGATGGCCGATTGCTTTTGCGCCTGCAGGCACTCATGATAAATGACCAGAGATGCTATTGCTGGCAACACCAGGCCGTGGTACTCATGGGTGGGCCGATTGAATCGATTGATGCTGGTCGAGTTGGTTTTGAACAGCGTATTGGGTGGCTTCTCAACGTCATTGCCCTGTATGAGCGGCTTGTTCTGCAACACCTTCGGCAGCTCTTTGGTCTGGGAGTTCTGGCAATCGGACTCGTGCTCCAAACAACGCACAATTAGCGTAGTGGCCAGCTTCTCAATGTCATTGCCCTGGATGAGCGCCTTGTTCTGCAACACCTTCGGCAGCTCTTTGGTTACCAGCTGGAAGATCTGGTAATCAGACTCGTGCTCCAAACAACGCACAATTAGACTACAGGCGCGTCGTATTGAAATCATTGTCGCTTGCGTTTGCGGTACCGGAGGCGGCAAAGGCGAGTCGATGCCCAAATAGTGGCTAAACTTTATTGTCCCCGGATTGTCACCGTCCGGGTAGCCAATGTGATAAGAAGCATTGGCACGGGCCTGAAGCATCCAGTTGAATATCTACCGGGTATATGACAGATAAGGTATGTGATGTATACGCGTATCAAACTATTCCAACACTTACCTTGAGCCGTACAATGCTCTCCTTTTCAAAAACCTTTGGCTGATCGTAGTGCAGCTCGAGGTGATCCGTCAGAATTTTGAAAATCTTGATGGCATGTGTGGCAGGCAGGCGATGCAACTTAATTGCAAAGACATCGATAAGCCCATCGATGGCAGCAATAATGTCGGCAATGTCCGACGCGCTTTTAATAACAAAACTGCTGCTGTTCGCCTCCTCAAACGGTCGTTTGATGAGCGCCTCCAGTATCTCCAACAGTTCCATGCAGCGCTTTGTGTCGCAATGTGCCGCAAAGTTGGAGAGCGCACGTGCCACAGCGGTGCGCACCAGCACGTTGGGCTCTTGATGGATCTGGGCCAGCTGTGTGACAACGACATGATCGAGTATCTCCTCCTCATAACTGGAACAGTTCTGGTTCATGATCTGTGCCAGTGAGTCGATCGTCTTAATGCGCACATTCACGTTGCTCATGCGATAATAGCGATGCACAAACTGTGTCAAGCCCAGCAGCCACTCCGGTCGCGTGGCCGTAATGTGACGCGTTCGATAATCGATTAAGCCCAGCACTGATGCCTCCGGACGACGATCAGCCACACGCTCGATCAGATCGTACATGCGATCCACATTACACAGTATTTGTGCCCGCTCATCTTGCAGCATCTTCTCAATGCAGTCGATATTCTCGTGGAAATTGATTTGTAAATGATGCAATTGATCCTTATTAACACCGCAACGCTCTGCAAAAGGATTCATCAATTATCACAGTGACAACACTGATTGATCAATCAATACGCACCATATTCCTCAATGTTGTCCACAATTGCCGACATAATATCACAAATCAGATCCCAGATGATCTCGGACAGCTTGAATTTGTTGATCACCATGCGAACGCTGAGTATCACTTCATAGGTGACAATCACCTGCAGGCTATGCAATGCCTAATGCAACATCGAGTAACGCTTGTTAGTTAAAGCATAATGATAATCGACTTGAAAAACATACTTTCAGGAAGCCCATTAGCACGTTCGTCGCATAGATCATCGGCGATACCTGGAATATCATATTCGACCCAAAGATGTTCATGTTGAGGTGGAAGACGGCACCACGCAACAGTTGTGCGTCCTCGTACCTCTCCTGATCCATGAGTATGCTGCACATCATCTTCATCGAACGATAGCCCAGCTGAGTGCCCAACAGATTTTTCATGATCTATACAAATATACAAATAACAAAAAGTCTCAGAATATCACAATAGAAATGTTAAACTTAGTGTCCATGAACAACAACATTTTAATAAACTATAAATTGACTTACAAATTACAAAAAAATAAACAAAAAATTCCAAAATTGCGTTGCGATGAAAAAACAGATTGTAAAGGAGTTCATAACTGTAAAGAAGGTACGGTATTTGCCGCGGGAGGCGCCACCACCTCCTCCCCCACCAGCACGGCGTGTGCTCATTGTTGGCCTCTGTACGCTGGATATAATCAACGTGTGTGATGAGCAACTCACGCCTGGTTGCCAAACCCGTACAAAAGATGGTTACTGGCGACCTGGTGGCTTTGCCACCAATACTTGCAACGTCTTACGGCGATTGGGCAACGACTGCGAGTTCCTTGGCCAGCTGACAAGCGCACCTGCATTCGAGAGCCTCTACTCCAGTTTCCAGACCATGGGCATTGACATCTCCAACTGTCCGCGCTCGCCAAAACAGCCAGCGCATCGCACCTTCTTCGCGGTGCGTGGTCAGACTGTACGCATCACCGCCGAGTATACAACGTGGCAGCACGAGCTCAGCTATCAGCAGTTCATGGGAGCCGTCGATTATCGCCAGTACAGCTGGATACACTTTGAATCGCGCAATTTCAAGGAGACGGTGCGCATGATTCTTGCGGTTCGCGACTACAATGCACGGACTCCGGATACGGACATTGTACTGTCTGTGGATCTGTTCGATTTACGGCCACACAGCATACTGCTCGCCGCCTTTGCGGACTATGTGCTCGTACACAGGAGGGTGAAGACGGCATATGGCTACATGAATGGTCGCGAAATCGTCTGGGCGGTGCGCAACAAAATGAATGTTGTACGCAAATGCTGGCTGGCCAAGCAACCGAAGAAAAGTCCGTATATAACTATAGATGAACAAGTGCCACAAAAGGTGGACAACAGTTGCACAGCTGAAGCGGAAGCGCACGAACCAACCATAATCTATGACAACTATGATGAGGGTGCCAGTTGCCTGGCGCCCGGAGGCGTCTACTTTAAAGTGGGCGCTCACAAGCCGCAAAAGATTGTGGACACAATTGGCGAACACGAGACCTTCGTTGGTGCCTTTATCTTTGCCATCCAAGTCGTCAAATTGTCGTTGCGCGATGCAATGGAATATGGCACCCGAGCAATCTGCCTGAAGATATCCAAGAATGGTTTCGACCACTTGCGCTGCATGCCCAAGGATCTGATTAGTTGCTATTATGCTTGAAAAATAAATTCAAGAAATTTGTTAAATTTGGCTAACTGTTTAATAATGTATCTAAGCAGAGAAAGAACAATTTAATCATGACTCATCCAAACTGCATTATCTATTTTGCGCAAATATAAATTATGTTTGGCATTGAAGATAATCATTTTGTAAAGTGAAAATGTTTGGATAACATTGGCAGATATGACAACTTACGATATTGTTAGTTGCTACTCATTTCGGAAGTCGGAAAATAACCGGGAATACCTTCAACGATATTGCTGTTTTAGCTGTTTTATTATCAGCCCAATTGCCAATCGATAGGAAAACATTGATGGGAAAACATAACAACGGATCAGATAAGGGTTGAGAAGACAAAGCAATTTCATTAGCATACAGCAAATTGTAACCCAGATGTTTCCACATGTTAATCGGAAATGAACTGATAAATTTTGTAGCCCAGCCCCATAAAAGTGGCGCAGATATCAAAACTTCAACACATTCTACGGAATTGTGCAGACAATAAATAAATACAACTAGATGATGTGCAGTAAGTGGTGATCATTTTGATATTCGGTTGAAGTACAAGGGATTGACGGGATAAGTGTCGTGTCTTCATTTCAGAGCAACTGCGTTATTTGATAGTCCTATTGCTGCATCTAACCATAATTGATGCCACCACTCGAAGCGAATCTTTGACAATCAAGGCTCTGTGCAGCATTGCCATTCCCCTGACTTTTTTGCCGGATGAGCGGCAATGTGACAAATTCTACATTTGCACGGGCAGAAAAGACAACAGCTACCAGGAATCGAAATGTGGCCAGGGCTACCATTTTAGCAGCCAGAAGAAAAGTTGCATAAAGGGCCCCTGTGCCACCGACGAATCGAATGCCACAAGCTGCCAGAAGGCAAAAGACGGCACCAGCAGCGTTCGACGTTTACGGAACGATTGTACACGATACGAACGTTGTTCTAGTGATGGCGAACTCGCAATTGTTAGATGCTCCTATGGCCACTATTTTGATGCTGAGCGCAATGCCTGCTTGCCGGTGACCATAACGCCAGCGCATCAGTGCAGCTGCATTCTGCCGGAGCACACAATGCTGCCGAATGCAAAAGATTGCACTAGCTACTATCGTTGCGAAGAGGGTAAGGCAGTATTGCAGCATTGCCCCACGCATAACTATTATGATGCCAGCGTGAATAGTTGTCTGCTGGATGTGAAGGGCACATGCCGGCCAGCCATCCCAGCGCCAGAGATTGGCGAGTGGTTGTCGGATTGTGCCGGCGAAGGTAGTCGATTGCTGCCACATAGCCACAATTGCAGCCGTTACCTTGCGTGTCTAGGCAGTCGGGCCATCGAGTTGACTTGCCCCTACGGGCATTATTTCGATGTGGTATCACAATATTGTGCTCCAGATGTGGCTGGCCGGTGCCACATGGCAATCACTGCAATACCAGCTTTGGTATCTGAGGAATTGATCAGCGAGAAGCAGACAGAGGAAGTGGTCAGCGAGAAGCAAACCGAGGAAGCGATCAGCGAGAAGCAGACACAAGAGGTGATTGTCCAGGAGCAGGCACAGCAACTGCTTAACAATCATCGCTCTCCAAAGGAGACAATCCATAGGCCGATAATCTATCCAGATGGTATTATCAATAAGCTAGCATCAAAGTTTTTAAACGATTAAACGTTCACTAAATTGCATTAAACTGAGTTTGTTACCTATAATAACAGTGGGACATACCTTGAAGGATGATTGACAATATCGGGCATGGTTCACGGTACGGCACAGTGTGACAATGCATTGGTGTAACGGTTCGCTGGGGAAAATGGTATAGCCGATGACCATTTCCAAAATGGTCAAGCACTGTAGTCCGATATCATCGTCGGCCATGATACAGCTCAAGTCGCAAGCGTGTCTATAACAAGCAAGCACAATCATTTAAAATACATTTAGTTCGTTATACACAAGGCACATACTGCACAATTCCAACGAGTATGTCTTTGTCGAGGTGTGCCGCATTAAACTTAATGAGATTAACCATCATGTCCAGGTATGGGCACAGCAGATTGGCAGCCGTGATAGCTGGTATCCAGCACAGCATAAATTTTCCAATCTGTTAAATTTCAGTAATATTAGCACACATTTTTTCAATTGTTCAAATTTTCACACCTTCTCCTCGAAATTGGTAATATCCTTTCCATTCTCTGTGAGTGTCTCAAGTAGCTCCAACAGGTGTCGCAAATCCTCATGCGCCTCATGATTTTGAATGACCAGAAAAAACTTTTCACGCATCAGTGTAATGTTTTTGTACTGGGTGTATATCAGCCGCTTATAGAAGGTTAAAGCTATCTGTCGCGTTTCAGCTGGCTTGTTGTGCACAATGAGATCGTTGGTTAGATGCCACAGCTTAGTGATGTACGTCTGTATGCAAAAATGTGTGTATGTATCAATTTGCCGGGCGGGTGGAGCTTTGTACCGTTCGGCTTACCTCGTCCAAGTTAAATTTATGCAAATGCAAGTCGCCCAATTCCTTAAGCATTTTGCAACGCTGCGCGATTGGCAACTCAGGGCGCAGCTCTCTCTCAAATTCTGGACGCAAAGTACGCTCCCCCGCTGTTCCTGGGAAAATGCACATTAGTGAAGCAAGTGCACAATTGAGTTTTGTGAATTTTCATTGTTACCTGCCGATTTCGTTGACTTGAGAAACATTTTGAACTTTGATTTATCTTTGGAGCTCATCATTGACCGTTTTATATGCGCTGTAGGCCGCAGCTATATTTAAAACACTTTTATTTTAATCAAAATAAACAATAGCCGCTGCAAATTGAACCAATGTGCCCCAACAGATTACAGTAATAAACACATAAAATCATAGGGGTACTCCTATAATTGCTGTTGGTCCTGAAAGTAAATTGATATGGTAATTTTCTTCAATGTTAATATGATTTTTATAGAAAAAGAAAGAAAATGTTGAGATTTATTTAGTACGACCACATAAATTTACCTATGTATTTCCAGCCATGCCTTTCCGATTCACCTCTTTCTGTAGATTCTGTAACGATATTCGTGCACAAATTCTTAATCGATAATGTTAAATAACAGCTGTATTCCATACATCGGCAACTGTTATGGTATCGAATTATTCTGTTTACTATAATAAAATATGGACTTTTAATATAATCCGTACTAAAAGACTAGGCAGTCGGGCCATCTAGATATTAATAGTACTTCACAAAAAATATTCAAATGTTATGTGCCAAAAACATATGTTTTACTGAACGAACTATCAAATGAATATCATAAAGGAACCTGTTCCGTCTACTCGATTGCAATAATTCCGAATAATTCGATACATCACTATTTCGTAGCGTCTCCCAAAAAAATTTTACAAATTTTGTTAAGGAAAACGAAAATTTTAATTTTGTTTTGTGCATTTCCTCGCTTAAAGCGCATCTAGGACAAGTACTTTACATTGTTTCGTCTATTGCGCCAGTTTGTGCCTGTTCATTTGCAAATTACTTACACCGAAAAGCTTACGGCGTACATGCGTTCTTGATTGCGAAAAGGAAAACAACAGTTACTCGTTCACAAAAGGTAAAAAGTCATATTCATAATACATATATATGTACATCATGTGTGCATGAGCATTTTGCGTTAGTATTATATCGTAAACCATATTTGCATATGAGATTAATACGATTATATTGCGCTTAGTAGTTGCTGTTCGCACTATATATTAGCAAGTCTATGTAAATAAGTAAATGAGTGTATGTTTGAACTGAACTCTCACATACATATGTATATACCTACTCACATAGATGGGCATTAGCGAGTGTGCGTTTCATCAAATGCAATTTTATCTGGCCATTTTTGCTCGCTTTTTAAATTCGGTTCGGTTGTCCTTGCTGATTTTCCATCGCCATATTTGCAATTTACATGTATACTCTGTTTTTATTTATTTATATATTTTTGATACCCATAAATATAAATATGTCTTGTTTTGTGCCACAGGCCAACAACATGAGCTCTACTGAGGAAAATAGTCCAGCAACCACGCCACAGGAGAACGAAGCACCATCGGGCGAGCCACCCAATCCCAGGGACTTGGAGAAAATCGAAGAGGAGAAGCTCAAGTCCAAATATGCGAGTGGCGTACGAGTGCCTGGCGGTCATTCTGCCTTCCTCCAGAAGCGTCTGCAAAAGGGCGTGAGTTGAAAAGCAAAAACCTTTCATTATATATCTTTTTCACCCTCATTTAATGTATTTTTGTAGCAAAAGTTCTTTGATTCGGGTGATTATCAGATGGCTAAACAAAAAGGTGGTGGCGTCAAGCAGGTCTTTGCCAACAAGGTGACCACCGGTGAAGCCATACCAACGCCCGAAACGGTGCCAGCGCGCAAGACATCCATTATACAGCCGTGCAACAAGTTCCCAACGACGAGCTAAAGTGTCTGATCTATCAACAACCTACAAAAAAGCTCCCCTGATGCACCGCCTTCCCAAATGCTCTTTACCTAATATTATATAGCCTATTATTGCAAGTTTGGCTGATCTATAAGCACTATGCCGTTGCGCTGGCGCTAATTTTGCCGAATTATAAACATTTCATGCAAGTTTTATTTGATTTAGTTTATTCCCACGTAAACCGCTGTTTTCCTTTGCTCCTCGAAAATTACTTTGCGCCCCAAATAACTGGCTAATGCCGTCAATCTCAAGAACAATGAATGTATTATGGCACTATTGAAGCAACACGTCTTTATTCAAAAGTTCTCTTTAACAATATATATTACCCTGATCGTATGTAGTTGTAAGTTATTGAAATCATAATAAACTTAAGTTGTAAACAGCTCTATTCAACATTTTTGGAAAATTACGCAAAGTGTTCGGAATATAATTTTGAAATGAAATCCACGTGAATAAACATTCAAGAAAACTGACTATAAAACAGCGTTACAATGATCAAATGAGTTATTCATATCTTTTAAACATTTAAGCTCCCAAGGCTCAAAAATGATAAATACAAAATAATGATTGATTGGGTGTTAATAGAGCGCAAAACTATTTGCTTGGTCCAATAAGAATTTGTATGAATCTAAGTATCTTAATGGTATCATCAGATACCATATTTAGTCACCGGACCAATTTGTTTTTATTATTTAATTACAAATCTTGAGATTCATATGCTTCGGAAATATGAAATCTGCCGATTAATGTCGATTAAAAGCAGTCACTGGTAATGGTATTTATTCGTGTCTGAGTTATCGATGGTTACTGGTGAGTAACAGTTACATCCAAATTTATCTCATCTCCAATACATTCAACGAAGAAGTGCTACTTGTTTCTGTTTGCATTAACATTTCTATTCAAAAAAAGAATGCAATAAAACGTTGAATGGAAACAGGCAACAGTTCCAACCACAGCGTCTTCGACCAGATCACTAAACTAGCCGTGCTACTCCTGCAGGATGAGCTTAGTGAAGCAGAAAAAACAGCTGCGATTGCAATTGTGCCTCCGCCAGCTTCAGTTGCCAGGAAACGCTCACAAATCTACGAATCGGTGCTACGACGTCAGTTGGCAGCCGATCTTGCAAAACGACCCCGCTTCCGTACTCCTCGACTGCCCCAATGTCAGAAGCTGTTGAATGAATTGTGCGCCAATTTAGAGGCGGAACTGGGTGCCGATGTTGGACGCTGTCTTCAAAGTATTTGCACATCTAAGGATGATCAGAAGTCAGAAGAGAACCAAGGATTAAAAGGCGATGGCGTCGAAAGGCAAGAAAGAAAATTCCGAATGCTGGTGCCGAAACCACTGCGACTGGAACAGAGCAACGGCGAGCTGCAGCCACCAGTTTTTGACCTGAAGTATTTAAGGTCTGTCGAACAGATGCGTTCCTCAATGCAGCCAATCCATTTCCGCCGCCAAACAAACTATTTGCCAAACAATTTTGATGCGATGCCCAAGCCATCGAGGAACGAAAAGAATATCGAATTGAACTGCTCAATCTTGAATGACTCGATGGCACGCATGAAGGAACACAAGATGGAAAAGAAGCGTGTCAAATTCAATTTGCCGGCACAGAACAAATGCAAAACGTTTCCGCCTGATATCAAAGCTAATCGGATGCCAAAGAAGCCGTGGTCACAGCTTAAAAAGAACTTTATCTCAGATGTGAACGCGGGCAATGAACTTAAATGGCACCGGGATCACACATTGGAGTTGTATTTTATTGAGTTGCCCAATCTGATCGATCATCTCAAATATAATGCGGGTAAGCAAAGTTACGAATATATATATATATCCATAAAGTTAATACCATATAATTGTCGATCTGTAGCTGGTCTGCAATCGACAACGTTTATTCGCACGGACGATGGACGTTTCGTACTCAAGCCAAATACAACGCTCAGCAACGTGCAGTCCGAGGTTCTGGATGAGTTTGTGCAACCATTTCTTGCCTCCGGCGATGCGTATCGCAATCTATGCGACCGTACTCAATGGCATGGCACATTAAATCATTGCGAACGTCCTCTGAATCGAGTAAGCTATTTGTGCTCATCAGTTTTTACTATATTATGTACTATATAATGTCTTTTGCAGGCTCTGCGACAGGCAATTATAGTGTTCCTTGCGAACAGTCGACAATTTTTACTGTCGGTAAGTGCCAATAGCTTGTTACAGCTCCTGCACATCACAGGACCCGCCATGCAGATGCTGCAGCAGTTGAATAAATTGTTTCACGACGATTTCAGAAGTGAGTATATTTTATACTACTCAATAGCTGGCGACGCTAAAACTGCATTTAAATTGAGCAGTGAACATCGCCAAAGGAATAAATGGCGCCGGCCTGTTAAGCTTCGTTTGGTCAGCCATTAAGATGTCCGTAAATAGTGAATACTCGCAACTGCTATTGTACCTGTTGAGGTCTTTGGCCGTCACATACTATGGCCAGCTGGAGCGTTGGATATACCAAGGCGAGCTCGACGAGCCCTTCAACGAGCTGTTCATTAACGGCTGCATGCCGCACTCGATACACGAGCGCAGCAAAGAATTTTTCGACAGGGGCTATTATCTGCGCCCGGATGCGGTGCCAGCGTTTCTAGTTGGCTGTGAACAGACCATTCTGCAATGCGGCAAATACAATCGCTTGCTGCAAACATACAATGCTCAGGTTTGTATATGGATATAGAGATAATCATATTATAACCAGCTGATTGCTTACAGCATGTGGTTTTTAAATTGAAACATCTCGAACTTGTTGTCTGCATGTCAGAGGAGCAGTTGAGCGAAATGACACAAAAGTTGGAGCAACACTACAAGCAGTTAATGCAGAATATCCAAAACCCCTTCAAAATGAAAAGCATCGTAGACGAATATACAGCGAGTAGTCAGCGCTTCGGTAACCGCATGTGGGATTGCACTCAAGCGCACATTGCTGACTGGAAACAGCGCCAGAAGCACTTGCAATTAATTGCGGACGCTGCCAAGCAGCGACGATACGATGAACTCAACGAACAGCAGGAACAGCAGCAGCAGGAACGTTTGGAGCAGCGACGCAATGAACTTGTGATTGAGCTCGCCTATCAAGGGCAATGCGATCAGCTGGAGGAGCAACGTTTGCAACGCCACAAGCAGGCGCTGCAGGAACAAATTGCTGCATTGGAAAAGGTCACAATTCCGCTAGAATCGACCAAAGTGGCCATCAGTCCAGACGACAGCACAAGCAGTAATCGCAGCTATTTATCATGCGAGGAAGCAGATTCAGAACTCCTGTTGAAGTGTAAGCCCAATTCAGAGACGGTGCTGTCCAAAAATCAGTCGGAAGATGTGCTCAACTCGAATGATAATGATAACAATAATGATGACGGGGATATGGCACGCAATCGTATGCGCAATCTATGCTCTGATCAATTTCAGGAGTGCTATATACAGGTGAAACTTAATCAGGGTACAACGACCACCAGTGCATCAGGTTATAGCGATGCCAAAGCTAATCGCTTGCGTGTGCTTAGTTGTACAGATGAGCTAACTCAACGGCCGCCCGATATGAACATGAATCTCGAGGAATTGAGTGACCTGCAGCGCAATCGTCAGCGCATGCATCAGCACAACAAGTTCAGTTCGCTCAATAGTGATGACGACGATGGTCAAGGTGAACGCGAGCAGCGATTGCTGCACTCGGACACGGAACTTGAGCATCGCCATCCGATAAGAGATGACTCCAAATTAATTGAAGCCTCTGACAATGGTCTGCATTTGCCCTTGGAGCGCCACAAGCTGTACGTGGAGACTGCACAGGACACCTCAACGCCCATGTCCACCACATCGGATGTGGAAGCTGAACCGTTTGCCAACGCCATTCCCAACGAGGTTGTCGATGCGGCCAATAACAATAATATCAAGCGTAGAATCCATTCTGATATCAATCACGTGAACACAGATCCGCCAATATCATCAGTATCGACAGGTGTGACGGAGCCCGATACTGTGACTGAAGGAGAAGTCAAACCAATGTTCAGCTTGAAGCCATTGGCAAAGCCGGTGCAGCCAACAATCGCACACGATCCGTTTATGATCAAACGGTATATGCAATTGTCTGTGATGGTGCCACTGAATGCGCATTTGTCGCTCTTGCGCAACGAGGTGTTGCGCATATTTCAGGATCTGAATGTATTTGAGCATTTTTGCCAGTTGCGTAATTACTTCTTTTTGCTGGACGGCGAGTTTGGCACTCAACTTATAGCGAGTATTCTGCAACAAATCGAATCGGGCGTGGCGCCACACAATTTATGCAATAGGGGTACTCTAGATTCTATAGTTAACAATGCGATCGGCAACCGAATGGCGGAAGGCACTTGTGCAGCTCTTGTAGCTGATAATCTCGAGTTAAATAGTACACACATCCCGGAGTCCTTTGATCTGATGAGTATCGATCTCTTGTCCATATTTCAATTGACATGCAAAGTGGACTGGCCGCTTAATTTGGTAATCAGTGTGGAGACGATGGCCAAGTATGGCCAAATATTCTCGCACTTAATAAAACTTCGTCATGTCAACTATATGCTGGAGCGCGCCTATCGGCACCTGCAGCAGTTGTCCAAACTCCACGGTTGGTCAATGCAGAGGTCATCGCATTACCGTAATCTGCAAATGGTGCGACACAAACTGGCGCATTTTGTGATCACGCTGCAAAATCATTTGGAGACAACAGTCTTGCAGGCCACGTGGAAATCCTTTACCGACGAGCTGTGCGCCGTCGATTCGATTGAAGGACTCTACCAGCGGCACGTGGAATACTTAAAGAAGATCGCATTCCTCTCATTGCTCAATCGACGAAGCGCCAAGTTCCGAGAGACTATTGATAGCATTCTTGTGATTGCGCTACGTTTTTGCAAGTGCGTAGAAAATTACGATTTTATTATAATTTAAACCAATTTCTTATTTACTTATGCTAACTTCTATTTTTGTTTTTATATAGGATATTGCACTCAAAGCCCTTTGTTTTGAACGAGGAACAGAAGTTTGAACATCCGCGCTACAAGCGATTGATATTTGAAGAGGGCGAGTTTGAGAAGTTTATGCGCTATGCCATCTACTTGGGAAACAAAGTCGCTGCCTCTGGTTATCAAGAGCAAATGGTAAACCTAATACGTATTATTAATTTTAATAACTACTACACTGTATCTGAAAGCACAAACTAAATACAATTTTACGCAAACAGAAACATGAGTTGCATTGGGACAAACTAATCTAAGACTAGTTAGTTGGTAATACTATCAAATTCCTCTTATACATCACATATATTCATATAGCAAAAGCTTGGGATTTGTAATCGTAACGTCAAAAATTTAAGTCAAGTAAGTACTAATTTTTTTCTTTTACGCATTCGGTCACACCGTCAATTTGACATGAATTTCTTGTTATCGATTTGTTATTTCGATAAATAACAATTATTTGTTTACCAGCCGACTGGTGCGGCAATAAATTGAAAGCGCTTGAGGCAATTGACTACCTGCGCTGAGAACCCTTGAGTCCCGCGAATCCATCTACCCAAAAGAGGCAGAGCGCGGGCAGGTCAGCGATCAGCGAAGGGCATCGCATTTTCCACATACATATCTGTAATGCTTGACGATATCTCGGCATTGCATATAAGTACAGCAGGCATAGCGCACGCCATGGACTCAACATCGGATGCGGATGCGGTAAATACACTGAATATGTGCAGCATTGAGCAACAACAGCTAAACAGCTCCAATATCCTACAGTGCTCACTGTCCTCGCTAGACAGCGAAAGTGATTTGTCGCTGGCCTTCGAGCGTGATCTGGACGAACCGGCTGACTGTGATGAGCTGCCCGCTTTCGAAATACGCGCCTACTCGCCACATGGCCGCACACCATCACCCATTGATGACTTGAATGTGTCGGATATTGAAACGCCAAAGCAGCAACAGGCGGCACAACAGCAGCGCAGTCCTGAACGCCAAAACAATCCGGAGTTTGTGGCCTTGCACGAGATCAATGCACAAATCAGTGCACCCAGCGAGAATGGAAACGATTCAACAACTGGTGTCATCAGTCACGACAACAGCTTGGAAACCATATTTGAGGGTGTCTTTCTGCATACACCGCCGCGTGAGAAGCTCAACAAGAGCGCGGGATGCTCAAACTCGAATTCGGCCACGCGTTATACACCAAAGCGTAGTCGGGTTAATCTAATGGAACTGGTTGCCATGAATCGCCTGAACATTGACGGCAAGGAAAATCAATCGCCTTGCAACCAGCTACAAGATGAGCATACCTAGCATTTATATATTTTCTAATGGATAACCTAGACCCGAACCAAAGTCATATATGGGACACGTTCGTTTCGACTGCCACTGAATTTCTAGACTTAAGTTTTCGATATGTGTTGTTAACAAGCACTCTTTGTACACTTTGTGTATCTGAAAGGATGAAAAGAATAATGTTTATATAATTTTATGTTTCAAATTTTGAGTTTATGTAGTAAAAACATATGTCTTTCCATGTTTCAAACATTAAACGGCACGTTCGTTTTTCTTTTATGATGGGCATTCCAATACTGTGCAGGTAGGCACAATTTTCGTATGAAATAGCTTTCCTGCTACCTGAAATCTAGGAACCAGGACGAGAGGCTGGGTTTTGTAATCCAAGCAGGTGCTAAGCCTCGGAAGCTCTTAGAAATGTAGTGATTCACGCAGCTGTCCTTAACTCTGACCAAAGTGCAAGATAATATATAGCTTGCAACGTACTTACTTCCAGATTAATAGAGGCAAATTAGGTTACTTAAGTCTCTGTGTTCATCAATGGTATTAAAACAACCTTAAGCATAAATCGTAACAATCCCAAAATACTTATAGCTAGAAATTTATTTAAATTATTGTTGAGCATACAATACAAGTAAAACTGCAATAATTTTCACTTACGCATTAATATTTGGCTTAAAATTTAAATATATGTTAAAATCTTATTTGAAATAATGTATTTCCTGTGTACATATTCGATATACATATATACAATATCATTGGAAGTACTCCGACTTTTGATTTTTTTAAAACGATCACCCAAGGACTTAAATGGTAAAACTATTCAATGATGCACATTAAGATCTTTAAGAGGCGCAAATTAACAAACATATATATTTTCCATACTTTCTAATTTCTGAAACCCGCTCCCAACGTTTAAAGCCCCATTGAAGATACATATATGCATATAGACTATAGAAAAAGACTTTCTTAATTTGGAAATGTTACCGTTTTAAACTTAATTTTAGAATATTCTTGCAAACAAATAAAGTTGTGATGATGATTAAATGGGTGCTTAAAAATTAGCGCGGAGGGAATGTATTGATGAACACAAAAAGTAATACGAAAGTAGCTGGTAACTGTTAATTTGGTAAGAAAACTTATGCAAAAGATGTGTCCTAAAATGAGGTAGCTCAAAAAGGATATCTTGAGATTAACTCTGTCATAAATTCATGCTTTAAAAACTGATCAAAAATTTTTGGAGTGACGCGATGCCGAAAAGATCTTGACCCGCAGCAAACCTGGATTAACCTCCTGCCAGCTGAAAAACGAAATTATTGATTGAAATAAGAAACAAGTATGTATTTACATTTCCAGAGACTTACCGCAAACGCCGCTCACCCAGTCGCGCCTTGACGTTCTTCTTAATGGTGGAGACACCATTGGCGCTGTGCAATCCTCGACCCGTTATGATGAACACATGCTTATAGACCCGCGTGCAGTTGCGCAGCACGGTTATATGACGATCAAGAAACAGATCGAGACTGCTAATTGCTTCCATTGTGTGCAGATAGTGTAGATCAAGTAGATCCGGATTGTTCTGAGTATGCTTGTGCACCTCCATGATGCAGTTAGCGGCACGATGATTGAACACATCGATCTTCTTTTTGTGCAGCTGCGCAATCTCTGAATAGTAGAGAGCCACACTACCGTTGCCATGCTGAATTGCCTGCTTGGCTTTTAAATTGCATTCGGCTCTCAATTGGGCGTGATGGGCGGCTAGATTACGGGTCTCCTCAAAGTCCCGCAATGCCGCACATTTCGCCTCCTCATGCAACTGCGGCGACTTGGCGTTGACTGTCGGCCGTGGACTTAATGACTTTGACGGCGTCTGTTGCTCCTGTTCATTAAGCTATCACAAATCAGAGACAACTATTATTAATATGAATTGTGCAATGTAAGATTGAATTGTGGCCACCTTTCTATTTTCCCGCAGCGCCTGCTCATAGAGTTCGGGGCCAGTTAGATCGCTCTGCACATTGCTGTCCAGCACCTCCACGGTCTTCACATAGTTGTTCTCAGTGTCTGAAAAGACCTGCAGAACGGTATCGTTTGGAATTTCTGGAAATTTCTCGCATAGCTTCATTTTGGTCAGATGCGTTGCAATGTCGTTGGGCTTATGACGTGTCGCCTGATTAGCTGCCTGCTGTTCGCTGTTGTAAATGCTCCAGGCCAGCTCCATGTCGAGCAGTTCGTTCACATTGCCGGGCGATTCGCTGCACTCGGCGTATTTGGGATGCTTTAGCAGTCGGGCAAACTGTTCGTCGTCGCGCAACGTTTGCTGACGCTGCTCCTCGAGTTGATTGTGCACCGCTTCCATCCATACCATGTAAAGCTGCTTGGCCAGGCTGCGCGGAACAAACACTTTGGTTGGCAAAGATTCCGGCTCTGTTGGCAGCATTTCACCCTCCCACTGAAAGTGACTGCGAAGTTGTGCAATTAAATTGTCATCCAAATCCATTTCCAGCAGCGCATTATCCTCAGAATCTTCGTCGTCCTCATCAGCACCAGTGCAGGGCATTAACGGTGCTGGCTCGACGGGCGCCAGCGGCTGATCTAAAATCCCATTGCGTATATCGCGCACTTTTCTCGTATGCTCCGAGTACTGATCATCGGCCAATACAAAACGGTTCTCAATCTGCAACTGCAGCTCCTTGTTTGCGCTGCTGTTGGCAGCACCCTGGCCTGAGGCATTTCGTCTAGCACGCGGCTGACGTTGTGGTTTCGCCTGGGTTTTGAGCGACAGAGCGACTGGCGGTGGTTGTGTTTGCAATTGAACAATCAATTTTTGAGATTTATTGTTGCAATCACATTGAAATTCATCGCTTTCCAGCAACAACGCATCCTCCGCATAGTCAGAGCCGTCTGCGGTGAGCTCATCCTCTTTGATTAATATATCGACAGCCCAATCCACATCGCCGTTGCACTTTACAAACAAGTCCCAGAGACCTGCCAACTGTTTGTTGGGATACATTTGTCGCAGCAGCACAAAGCCAGTCGCCTCATTTGGACAGTTTAAGCAATGACGCTGCAGCACTTTGATGTCGTCATCTGTCGATGATACTGGCGCAACCGTTGAAATAGTTGGTTCATCACGCAAAAGGTCGAGTAATGAATTTTCACTTGTTGCCGCAACGCCAGCAACAACGTTTGTTTGCATTGGTAACACGCCTTGCGGTTGCTGCTGCTGTGCCCAATAACTGTTCGCATTTTTCTCATATGGCACCCAGGTTTGCGCATTGATATTCAGCTTAATGCCATTCGAATCGGCATTGGAAACTTCCGGCTGCAGCGACGGCTTTGATGGCGCTGCCAACTGTGGCAGTGGTGGAATTGAACGCAGCTGCGGTATTGGCACTGTATATTTGGTTTCTTTGAGCAACTGTTGAATAGAAATGAAATTAAAGGGGATGGATGCAATTGTCAGATTTGACTCACCTTTAGGAGCTCGACAACGCTGGTCTTCTCGTACCGATCCAGCATCCGTTCAATGTTTTCCTTTGGTACACGATGCACATTCCTTTGCGCCAATTTACCAGGTGATTTGCACCAGCTGGTCTTTGGCTCCAATAGCTCCAGTACGTAGCCATGTTGTACGGCAATTTGCACATAAGGCTGCATCTCCCACACCATTATGTTTGTGTTGTCCACGATGATGGGACTCCAACCGGTGGCTGCCTTGCAGAGCACCCGCTGCTTATTCCACTCATGGGCATCGGACAATTGCGTCGGATTGAACTCGTATCCACGGCACGTGACAAAGAAATCATCGCTGCTATGCACAAAATCACCGATCGAATAATGCTCATCCAGCACACGAATTTGCTGTAGAAGTGTTTTAGCTAGGGTTGTCTTACCGCTGCCGGGGGCTCCGCGCATAATAATCATAATTTTTTGACCATCTTGCGCCTTTTTGCAGATTTCATTGAATTCTGTTGCTACCTCATTTGTTATACTGCTGGCGCACATTTTTGGATGAGCGCTCGATGCTGATGGTGCAATATACTTGTTTGTACTGCTGTTGTTGTTGTTATTGCCCTCGTTAAGCCAGAGCGTCATATTTTTAGCTGGCTCAGCAACATTTCCCGCAGTTGACATTGTTGTTGCTATGTTCGCTGTTTCTTTCGGTTCCTAGCGTATGACTGCGTTGTCATCAAAATTAAAGGACATGCATACACGTACAGAATACATGGGCATATATTATACATATGCAATATATATGTATGTATATAAATATATATATATATATATATATATATATATATATATATATATATATTACTGCGCAGTTATCGGGTTTAGCTATGTACGCTCGCTGATAGCTTTATCAGCCAGTTGTAGATCCTCTAAATTTGCCAAAGCCAAATGGGAACCTCAATTTGAGATGTATATTATTTGTGTACACTTTCAGTTGATAACTCAAGCAGACTTCTGGTTTGGCTGAGTTAATTATTGTTTATATTGCGAATTTTGAGTAGATTGTAGGGTAATCACTTATTTTTTCCAAAACAATGCACATTACCAAACCACGACATGTCCGATTGTGCTCAAAACATATCGATATAAATAATGTTTATGCATTTTACAGCACTGCCCAAAGGTAAGCTGATCGCGGATAATGCGATACAATTTTAAGTGCTGCATAAATGTCATTACCTTTGACAACGATTTGCTAATTACATTTAATGTCATTACATTTGATAACCAAGGGTTAATTATTGTTTATTTAATAGCTTAAATGATTTCACAAATATTTATCGATGTTCACTGTCAGTTGCCGAACATAAGAGGGCTTGCCTGCATGACCAACAATCATATCAAACTATCATGCAACGACCTATCGATAATTATTGCTGCACACTTTGTTAACAACAGCTGCATCAGGCATTGTCCATCTTTATACAAATTCGTGTAATTCGACTTAGACGTTTTTAAGAAGATAAAACCTATTCAAAATGAGCGATTGGGTAAAAATTGCAGAAGACCAAGAGGTGCCGAAATTGAAAATAGACTTAAATGCGGATGAACCGGCACCGACAAAACCAACAAATAAGGACAACGAACCGGACGTAGCCGACCCAGCTGAAACCAGTCTACTCATTAAAATATTGGGCAAAGGCTTGGTTAACACGAATCAGTCGCTGGACATTCAACAAAAAAATCCGAATTCACCGTTGCATTCAGTGAAAACGTTCGAGGCATTACATCTAAAGCCGGAACTACTAAAGGGTATTTATGCGATGGGCTTCAACACGCCATCGAAAATTCAAGAGACCGCATTGCCAACTCTCCTCGCCGATCCACCGCAAAATATGATAGCACAAAGCCAATCGGGAACTGGCAAAACTGCTGCCTTTGTGTTAGCAATGCTTAGTCGCGTAAACGTCGCACAGAATCATCCTCAAGTTCTGTGCCTCTCGCCCACTTACGAGCTTGCGATCCAAACTGGCGAAGTGGCAGCTCGGATGGGTCAATTTTGTCCAGACATAAAGCTCAGATTCGCAGTCCGTGGTGAAGAAGGTAATATGTGTGCATACATCAAATAAGTCCATCAATCTATTACGATTTGCGATTTTCTATTGATGTATTTTATATTTCACTAATACCGCATTTGCATATTGTTTGCAGTTGATCGCAACTCGAAAATTACGGAGCACATTTTGATTGGAACTCCGGGTAAAATGATGGACTGGGGTATCAAGATGCGTTTGTTTGACATCAAAAAAGTTCGAGTTTTTGTGTTAGATGAAGCGGACGTTATGATTGCAACGCAAGGGCATCACGATCAGTGCATTAGGATTCATAAAATGCTTAGTCCGCAATGCCAGATGTTGTTCTTTTCGGCGACATATGACAAGGAAGTTATGGACTTTGCTCGCTTGATTGTCTCCGAGCCGACAATAATACGATTGATGCGTGAGCAAGAATCTCTTGATAACATCAAACAATATTATGTGAACTGCAAAAACGAAGATGGCAAGTACAATGCCATCCAGAATATTTATGGTTGCATCAGCATTGGTCAGGCAATTATATTTTGTCACACGCGCAAAACGGCTGCATGGCTGGCAGCTAAAATGACTGCCGATGGCCATTCGGTGGCTGTTCTTTCTGGCGATTTGACCGTTGAACAGAGACTTGCAGTTTTGGATCGATTTAGATCCGGCCAGGAAAAAGTGCTCATCACTACGAATGTCCTGTCGCGTGGCATTGACATCGAACAAGTCACAATTGTGGTTAATTTTGATCTGCCCGTTGATCTTCGTGGCAATGCCGACTGTGAGACCTATTTGCATCGCATTGGACGCACTGGTCGATTTGGAAAATCGGGCATTGCTATAAATCTTATCGACGGTGAGAAAAGTATGACTGTCTGTCGCACTATTAAGGAACATTTTCAGAAGGATATTATTTATTTGAATACCGACAATGCGGATGATATTGAAAAGATTGGCAACTGAGTCATTATAATCATTCCATTGTTTAACGTTAAGCAAGCAACATTTGTGAAAATTCTATTGAAATAAAAACATTTTCTGAATATTACACGCATACAATTTCAAGTTGAAAATACAAAAATTTATTATTTTTATTTTATTTATAATGGCTTTGTACTTGATTACAGATCCATTTACTTATCCTGCACAAATAATAAACCTAAAAGCGCTTGATATTATACCCATCACACCTGCCAACACTTTAAAAATAACTGGGACACATTTCGCTAAGCCAGTTGCTACAAATAAAATGGCTTTGAGAACAAACAAGGAGACTTTGAACAGGGCTGGGACAACTATACAAATAAGTTTTGCTCCATAGTATAAAATGTAAAACAAGCTTTTAAAAATTACTTGTAGTATCGTGAAAATAACGATTCCCAAATTTTTCACAAATCTCCATATTAATACACTATATTTGAAAATTATTAAAATTGCGTAAGCTACTAGAACTAGAACTACCGCAGCCCCAACCACACAAATCAAGCTTAAGAACATGAAAGATTTACAAAGTTCCCAAATAATACTAAGATAACTTGAATTACTCCTATTGTTTCGGGAATGGTATTCATAATTCTCTTGGTTTTGGTAACTGCCATGATCTCTAGTGTTATTTCGATACTGGTATTCATCGTTGTTTTGAAAATTGTGTTTATTATTCTCCTGGTTTTGATTTGGTTTCCTTTTATAGTTTTGGTGACTGCCATGATCTCTATTCTTATTCCGATACTGGTATCCATTGTTGTTGTTGTTTTGATAATTGTGTTTATAATTCCCCTGGTTTCGATTTGGTTTGCTTTTATAATTTTGGTGACTGCCATCGTTATTGTTGTTTTGATACTCGTGTTTATTATTCTCCTGGTTCTGATTTGGTTTGCTTTTATAGTTTTGGTGACTGCCGCTGTTGTGCTGGCTTGACGATGGTTCATTTTCAGATTTGTGTTGATTTTTATTTGTGTGATAACATCTATCGAATTCCTGACGCGTTGTCGGATCAGATAATTTAGTATACGCACCAATAATTGCTTTACAACGCTCTTCGTCCTCGACACTTTGGTTGGGATTCTTATCTGGATGATATCGTAACATCAGCCTGCGATATGCATTTTTTATGTCTTTAATAGACGCATTATGCGGAATGCCCAAAATATAGTAGTAGTCTTTAAAATGATTAGTCATTATATACGATTTTATTTATTAAATACAACAGCACAGCCGGCATTTGAGATGCCGCGTAAATTGTGGGAAGTACACACTTCATTCATACATTAGTGATGAAAGCAATGGGTATCGATATCGGTTGCATCTAGCCATAACGACCTGAATATCGAAATATTTCAAAATATCGTCTTAGAATACTAAGTACACACTTCATTCATAGATTAGTGATGAAATCAATGCACCAATGGGTATCGATATCGGTTGCATCTAGCCATAACGACCTGAATATCGAAATATTTCAAAATATCGTCTTAGAATACTAAGCGTTTACTGTATCACCACATCTCGCACCCATGCACGCATGCACGCATGTTAATATACGGTTGGGTTTTTAATTTACCCGTGAATTTGTAACAGCGAAGTCAACTTAAATAATGAGCTGATTGCACTGCACGACACGCGAGATCTGCAAAATTTTTGACGCGTTGCCTTCTTTGGCAGAAAAGTGGCCACAGGCTCAGAAAAAAACCTGATGCATGTCGACTTTGGTTATCTGTCTTGTGGGATGGTGTCACTGCCTTAGTAAATGGACGCATCAACGGATCATCTGAAGATATATTTATCATATATAGACCAATAATTGAAGAAAATAAAGCGATTCCAACTCCAGGACATTTCAAACTGTTGCAAATTGAATTTCTAAAGCGACTATTGTATTACGTTATCCACCACAAATTTTAGTTCAAATAATTAAATTTAATTGATTTCAAGTTAATGCGGATGTCTACAAACGTCCGTAAGTGCTTTGCAATAATGAATAAATAGTAATTTAAGTGGATGTGTTTCACTTCATGGCTGCCGCAACCTGCCACTGCTGTTGATACTTTGCCACTGCTTCACGGTGCTTCAGCATGTCTTTTTCCCTGCAATACAATAAATAATTGATAATATTTGGCATTTTGGGTGTGCTGTACAGTTAGCATACATGTTTTCCAGTGTATCGCTCGATCCCTTCAGTTCCTTCGAGATATACTCGATGCGTTTGCCAACATTCTGGCGTGAATCTTCCAGCTCTTGTTTCACCAGCACGGGACCGAACAACTTATACACTTTGTTGTCTGGTCCAAGCAAATTTAGTTCATCCAGTACGCACTTATTCTCATTCAGCTGACTCTCCAGGAGTGCGCGCTGCTTAACCACCTTGACACAAGCTGTATTAGCAGAAATTCATTTTTATTTTAATTGCACTTATTCATTATTTTAATTCACTTACATTTCTGTAGATTTTGGTATGACTCAACCTCGGATTGCATTTTTTTATACAACGCTGCGCTGTTTTTATCCATTTTATTTAATTTCTATGAAGAACCTCTTAGAATTGTTGATATTTCAAAACAGTTGTCGGCTTTCGTCTGAAATAATTTGTTAAGCAAAATTAGTCAAGAGGTGGGCGTGTGTGTGTGTAAATGTGAGGTTGCTAGTTGTGGCAATTAGTTAATTGTATTTGCACTTATACTCTCAACACAATTACACAGTGTGCTTTGTGTTCTTCTTACTTTTACCAGATTTTTTAAAGTTGAAAGAAAAAGGATTTTCGCTAAATGTTTGCTTTTAAATAAGCAGAGCTGCAAATCACAAAACAGTGCACGCTTTCATGTTAAAATTTAGCGTTGCCACCTGTAGAAATGCTTGTCAGAACAGCTGACAATAAATGGAAAGAAAATGTAAATTGAATCACCGAAAATGCATATTGAAAGCTTTTTTCATGAGAAATAATATGCTGAGCATTAAATAATATATATATTATCAAATAAAAAACTATACCTAAAATGAAGTTTCACACATTACAATGTTGTAAAACGTTGACAGGGTGTGTTTAGCTTGTGGAAAACACAAACGGTACGACATGCTCATATCGCTGAATAAATTATATATTTCTAAGTAATTTACTTATTTCAATACTAACAGTCCAATAATTTAGTGAATAACAAAAGTTTTATTTAATTAAGAAATTCATGTAGAAGCACTCATTTACTATAAAAATGCAATGAACAGTCATCATGCAGTCGCATCGTGACACGACGCCCATAATAACATCAGAAACGCTGCAACAAAGCATACGGTTTCGCGCCGAAAAGGAAAACGGTGAAAACACGCAAGAAAATACGAAAAGAAAAAACAAGCAGAAGTGAATGCACAAAAACAAACGTAAAAATGTGTTAGGAAGCAAATGCATCGTTGGTTTGTATGCTGAAATTGCAGCAAGGCTACGGACAGTTCGTCGAAGTGTGTGTGTGTGTATGTGTGTGCGAAGCAAGCGGCGCGGCTGAGGCAGATTCCCTCCACCCCCTTGACTGTCATCCCACGAGATAAAACACAATGGCACCAACCAAGAAACGTGAAAGGGACAATAATGCCGACGTTGCGACTGGCGTTGTTTCTAACAACATAAATGGTTTGAACAGTGGCAATGGACATGCTGCAGATGCTGCTACAAGTGAAGCGTTGGCAGCGCCAGCGCCAGCATCGGCCATGTCAACAACAATAGCCCATGACAGCCAAACAAAACTGAATGGACATCAGCAAGAGCAGGAACTCTTCTTGCAGGCATTTGAAAGTAAGCTTTTGACGCCAGCACAACTGGTATTCCGCATATGAACAAATCAAATCTAAACTAATCAATAAACTTATCCAGAGCCCACACAAATCTATCGCTATCTACGCAATCGCCACGAGACAAACGTAAGCATATCCATTGGTTTCATTAATTACTTTTGTACGTTATGCATATGTATTGTATTTGTAAATTGCAGCCCATATTCTTAAATCGCACGCTCAGCTATATGAAGGAGCGCATGTCACGCAACAATAAGAAAAGAGCCAATTTCAAGATCGATTCCATACTGGAAAAAATCACACAAAAGTCTGAGGCTGTATCCCAAAACTTCCTGCATGTCATCTACGATTCTCTGATTGAGAAACACAAGCCGCAAGACAACGAAGACTTGCTACGACAGGGCCAGGATCAACTGCTCGGCGAGGCGGGCGAAAGGGTGTGTGTGGAGACAACGCTTTACAAGATAACGCGCAGCAAGCGCAAGGACAGCACTCTCGATTTTCAGGAGCTGCTCAGCAAGAGCTCACAAATTGTTTACAATCCCAAGGAGGGCATCGAGGAGCACGCCACCATTAGCATACCATTGCAGACAATGCGACCCATGGGTGATCAGCACACTCTTTACAAGCTGCTGTTTCGCATCAAGATGCAGCCGCAAGTGTGCAACGATGAAAATGCAGGTAAACAACAATGAGTGTGAGCGTATAAGTTGTGGGTAGAGGTAGAGATTAGATAACCTTGCGCAGAGAGAATTACAATGTGTGATTTAGTATTCGATTCTCTGCTCGCATTCCCGACCAGTTGGTCCTGATATAGATGTAGTTATTATTTGCCACAATGCGATAGATGTATAATAACACAGGGTTGACTGGCAAACATAAATATTTTATGTAGACCGTAGACGGGCCTTCCTTGGTGTTACTTTTGTGATCGAATTGTAATTTTTATTTCACTTGAACAGCAACACCGCCGAACAAACGATCGCGTAGCAACGAGAAAGTTTACGGCTCCGAATTGATACTGTATGAGAAGTCGAGCGGTTTCATCACTGAGGGCGAATATGAGGCAATGTTGCAGCCGTTGAATTCGTCCAGCATTAAATCGTTCTCACCAAAGAAATGCACCTGGGAGACAATGCCCGACAGCTACATTCCACTATCGCTGACCTACGATGTGTACCAGCAGAGTCCGATGCTCAAATTCCATTTGACATTGTCCAATGAGCAGTTGCCCGACACTATAGCAGCGCCTGAGATGCAGCGTTATGTGCATCATTTGGATGCCGAGACGGAACTTAGTCACCTTAACATCAGCAATATCAACAATAACAACAACAACAATAATAATAACAATAACAATTGTAGCGGCCTCAAGAATGGCAATGGCAGCACCATCTGCAAGGCCATACCACCGGAACACTTACAAATCGTATACAATTTTATGTACAGCAATAACACACGCCAACAGACAGAGTACACACAGGAACTGAACTGTCCGTGGTGTGGATTAGACTGCCTGCGCCTGTATGCACTGCTCAAGCATCTGAAATTGTGCCATGCGCGCTTTAACTTCACGTACCAGCCGGCGGGCAGCGGTGCTCGCATCGATGTGACCATCAATGATGCGTACGATGGTTCATATGCCGGTTCACCCTATGATCTGGCCGGCCCGTCTGGCTCGTCCTTTGCCCGCACCTGTGGCCCGGTGAGGCGCACCTCGGTCACCAGCCTGATGGTTTGTCGACCCAGGCGCCAGAAGACTTGCCTCGACGAATTTCTTGAATTGGATGAGGATGACATTAGCAATCAGCGCTCATATATAACAGGACACAATAGGTGAGCATTGATATTGAGAGATTATCTGTGATTAGACCTGATGAGGAGCCTCTCTTCTCTGTATTTCTCTCGATTATCTTTCTATATGAATTATTTATTTTGCTTTTCTACACATTCGAATGGCATCTTTATGTATGCATTATATAGATTATACCACCATACGGAGACCTGCCTGCCGGTGCATCCAAAGGAGCTGGACATTGATTCGGAGGGGGAGAGCGATCCGCTTTGGCTGCGCCAAAAGACAATACAGATGATTGATGAGTTCTCCGACGTCAATGAGGGCGAGAAGGAGCTGATGAAGTTATGGAATCTGCATGTGATGCGTCATGGCTTCGTGGGTGACTGCCAGCTACCGTTGGCCTGCGAAATGTTTCTGGATGCCAAGGGTCACGAGATTGTCCGCAAGAATCTCTATCGCAATTTTATACTGCACATGTGCTCACTGTTCGATTATGGCCTGATCGCGGCTGAGACCGTCTACAAGACGGTGCAGAAGCTCCAGGGGCTGCTCAGTAAATATGCTGCTGGCCAGGAGCTAATGCAGCGTCAGCGCGAGGCGCAGCTCAAATACTGGCTGGACGTGGGCATGCACAAGAAGCAGGACGATCTTAAGCACAAATCGCCGCAGAAGCCAACGGCCAGCTCCAGCGGCGATATAGCAACTACCTCATCGGGCAGCGTTTCCAGCGCCATGCAACCGCCCAAGCGCATGCCAGCCAATCTGAAACGGGCAAATGCTGCCGCCGCTGCTGCTGCTGCTGCTGCAGCTGCAGCGCTTGATGCCCAGGATAATGGCGCTGTCAATGGAAGCAACAGTAGCAAGAATGTGGCCAAGAAAAGTGCCGACCAGCCGATAGCCAACAATTTGGCCAACACACGGGAGCGCCGATCCGAGCAGGCGCTGAAGCGCAACGCCAACGTCGGGCGCCTCAGTGCGCCCGAAAGCAGAACTGCCAACTCAACTTCCAAACGCAAGATCGGCGCTAAAGGTAAGTAGGGGCCAGCAATGGCATGTTCGAATTGTAATCAACTGACTGACATTCATTAATCATCGGAATCCGAATCACGACATTCTGCTTCACCATAATCACTCGCCCAATCTATGCTTGAATGAAGTCTAAATGAACAAAAATAAATGTTATATATATTGTATATTTATTTGTACAGATCTTGAGTTTCCGAGCAAGCGCAAATTGTTTAAACTTTCGAGTTATGGAATTGTGATTAAAACTGCCATCCAAGTTTGGTTTTTTAGATCTTATTTCTACTTAGATTCAGTACCTTTGACAAGCTTGTGATTTAAAAATGATAACCCACGAGTATTATAAATTATTATTATTTTTTTATAAATCGTAAAGCAAGTAAATTGAGTTTGATAAAAGCTACAAATAATTTGGATTTTTCAAGACTTCGCTGCAAAGCTTTTGAACCGAGTTCATTCACATGCATCTTATACATACTACATATCTATCTATCGCACATTCACATTATCAAGGATCACTGCGCCATCGCCATCGCCATCGTCATGTCAATGAAAAGGCAAAAACAATCAATTAAAAACAATACCACCGACAAAAATGTATTCAAAATTTTGTATCAAAATTGTGATTATGATGGCAAATTTGCCCAATGTTTTTTTTTCTTTCTCTCTTTCCCTTTGTTTTCTATCTTTCGTTTGATTTCGGATTTACATACATACAAACGACCATTATTGTACAATGTGGTTGCCTTGGCCAAACAGCAGAAATGTCTGATGTGGAGCAGTTGGAAGCAATGGCCTCTGTGGATGTGCCTCAAGTTTTTGCTGCTGACAATAATGGCAATGACAATGAGAATGGGATTAGCAATGGTGTTGAAGATGATGCAACAGTTAATCATGTTGATGATGTTGGTGATGATGTTGATGAAGTTACAGGGAGTTTGACTGCCCACGTTTATCATAATTAAGTTAGCAATTGTAATTCGCATTTACATTCGTTCATCTCTCATTCAACTCTTTTACACTCTCTTTCACGCACACAAACACACAAATACACACATACATATACACAGATACGGCTGTGATCAGCAAGAGGCATCGATATAGCGAGGACGGCACCAGCGCTAACGGATCATCGACGCGCAACAACAAAAGCAATAATATTAATCATACACTGCCAGTAAACAGCAATAGCAACAACAAGCGACGTCACTCCGCAATGGAGCGCAGTAGATCAAACAGCACCGTAGGCGGCAGCAGCGCTGCAACTTTGCACGGACTGCGCACACGTCTGTCGGTGCCTGGGACCAAGTATGAGAGACGCTGACGCAAGCGGCGCTGCTGCTGTTGCTGCTGCTACTAAAAACAAACAAAACTATGACCAGCCACAGGAGGAGAAGGATTAGTTGACTATAAGCGAGGGCGTTTCGTTTAGATTTTGTGGTTTAGTTTTGATAAGTTTATGTTGAAAATGGTTTTTATTACATCCTGTTCAGCAAATGATTATCAGTTTATTATAACAATTTTGCTAATCTTAAGTATTACTATTAGATTGTGTTGTGTAAATTGTACCAAATTGTAAAGTCTTCAAAATCACACGAACTCCATTTCAATAAATCATCTTTCAATTTCTTAACTTATATATTAAATGCAACTATTTATGCATATTTTAAAGCAAGTTACTTAACAATTGCTGCAGACAAATAAATCAATTAAATTCGTATTTAAGCAATCGTAATACTTTCTGCAGGATTCCATTTTAAAAAAACAAACATGTACATTTCAAAAAATACATCCGAATAAACATGAAATAAATTTTTATTAGCTCAGATTACATGCGTATACAAATATTTTAGCATAAGTGAATGTAATATGAAAGTAAAATGAATCTTGGCAAGCAAATGAAACCCAAAAATAAAAAAATCAACCACACAATAGGTACTAAATAAAAATCCAATCAATTTAAAGACAGCTGAATAAAATGTCGCATATATATTTTTACAGTGCACATTCCTTGCTTTATTTAATTTTTCAGGTAAATATAAGTACAATAATCATAAATATTCTTTTCGATAGGTAAACTAATAATTCTTTGAAGTGCCATAATTCATCTCGACCAGATCGGCAGCATTCATCGACATAGACATATTGTTCTGATTTTCCTCATTAAACTCCAGTAGGCTGCGTTGCAGACGACATCTCAAAATATTGGCATTGCTTTCGGATAATGTTCGCAATTCACTTAGGATAAATGTGACCAAAGCCTCGTCTCTATCGACAGCACCCATGCCCTGTTGTCGATGTGCAGCAGATGCGGGTGTTGTTGTTGTGACATTAGAGACTGCTGCTGAAGAGTTGGGCAGTTGTACATCCGAAGAGATTATTGTGTCATCTTCTTCGACAGTATCAATAGATTCATCTTGTGAAGATTTTCTCGGGGGTGTTGCAGACCGTTGTGTGGAAGAAATAACTGGTTGGTCATATCGACTATCGAGAAAGGAAAGTGATTTCCTATAAAGCCATGCGCGATTGGTTTTTGAGACTACGTTATATGATCCTCTCAAAGTATTCCATTTTTTTAACAGATCCTCCTCGTCAAATTGATTACCAAAGCTATCGGCTACTTTTGACCAAGCCTCTTTTCTTGTTTTCTTTTTCCAAGGGCCAACCTCGTTGAGCTTCCAGATGGATTCTTGATTTTTTACCAAATCGATGAATTTAACAATTTGTTCGTGCTCCCAAACTTTAACTTTCTTTGGTTTCTCAGGCTTCATTATTGTCGCTCTTTTTTTGCTAGACTCTTTTGCCTTATCCGTTTTGCGAACCATCTAAAAAATGGCATTGAAAATATATTACTCATATTCATTTAAATACTTGTCTTGATTCTTACTCTGAATAGATGGCTTAAAAAATACAAAATTCAATTTACTCGAACCGAACTAATTTTTGCTTTCGCGAAAGGACGCTTAGGAAAGCAAATTTAGTGAAGCTATCGATATTTTGCAGTGAGGAGCACTTTTGTAAAACTATCGATTTAAATTCAATCAACTTCGTTGTGTCTGTTAACGCCACCGTCAATGATAATTAACATGGCATTCATTTTACCAAAATCCTTTACAGCAAAATCCTTTACACATTTTAAAGTTTTTTTTTATTACAAACTACTTATATATGAGATGCAACTAATTGTAGTGCAGTTAACAAGTTAATTCATTTCATATTCATAGATATTGTTTTGCATTTCCTCACTGAAGTCCAGCAGGGCTCGTTGCAGACGCCATCTCAAAGTATGCGCATCGCTTTCGGGTAGCGACCGCAATTCACTTAGAATAAATGTGCCCAATGCGTTGTCCCTAGCATTCGAACAATTATTGAATCTGGACACGAAGGATCTGCTAGGTTGAACAGATGTAGGTGTTGTTGGTATACCATGGGTTAAAAAGATTTTATTTGTAGCACGAGGAGATATTGTTGTTGACGAATGTGGCAATGTTGCAGCGGCAGAAATTGTTACTGGAGAATATGGCAATGTTGCAGCGGCAGAGATTATTGCTGAAGAATGTGACAATTTTACATCGGCAGAGATGGTTGAGGCCAGTTCTACTACACTCCTATCACTCTCATCATTATCACGCGTATCAATCTCATCACTATCATCATCCGATTCTGATGTCGAAGAGTCAGATCCTCGCTCCCTTGAACCATCGATGAAGACGAGTGAGTTATAATATTTGAAATACATTTTTTTTTTTCTATGATTAATATATTGTTTCCTCAAGGCGATCCACTTTGCGTGGACTTCAGCCGCATTGAATTTCATATCAAAGTCCTTGGCCACTTTTAACCAGAAGAGTTTTTTTCCTAATCTATTGTTATATTCGGCGTGGTTTGTGTTCCATACGAATTTGTCCTCTTTCACCAAACTGATTAGTTTATCAATATCTCTCTTCAGCCATACATTTTTTTTTTTTTGCTGCTTCTGCTTTTTGGATTTCATTTCAACCGCCCTTTGGTTAGAGGCATCATTGTCAACAATTTCGTCCTCCATCTAAAATATTCAATTGAAAATGTGTCACTCATATTATACACCAGTTCTATCAAGAATCTTACCGCAATAGTTTGTAACTGTACCACTCAAATTTATTCAAAGACAAACAATTTTGGTTGCTTTGGTAGGCAACCTATCGACATTTTATTAAGCGTGTAGTAATTATGTAAAGTGAGGAGTGACTCTGTAAAATTATAGCTTTTAACTCAATCAGCTGGATGTCTCTGTTAACTTTTCCTACACCATTATCTTAAATCATTGGTCCACATTTTGTTGAAGAATCAAATTTAAGCAATTGCAAATCACGCAAAGCCCAGATTTCCATGTTTGTGTCAAGTCTACGGATTGAGTGAATAAATTTGAAAGTTTCCCAAAAAATTGACGAAATGCTTGAATTCGATGATTTTGATCGATAGTTACATACATTTTGATTTACGTGTGTTATCGGTTCGCTCGGGCAGTAACAGCTCCTTTGAGCATTAACATGAGTATTTAAGTACAAGTTTAACAGTTTGACAAGAAGACGCGGTGGTTCCTGTTACTGGGTGTTAAGGTATTAACATTCAAGAGAAATAACATTTATTGTTTGTTGTTGTTTTGCCGTCGGGGTAGCATGCACGTCGGGGTCCGCGCGTGAAATAATAAGAAATAAGTAAATAGTTTTAGAAACAGAACAATAAAACTTGACAACAGCATAAGCCATTTTCGATTTGTACGCAGTATAAATTCAATAAGTACACACCTGATTTGCAGACGTGTGTTTTTTGTGGGCGCGCAAAATCGTTAATTAGTTTGATTAAAAAGTGCGACAAAATAGATGCACAATATACGTATTCGTGTATGTATTGGTATTGTATGCGCCTACATTGGCTGCTTGTCAAAACGTCCCTCGACTGCCCCATAATAATAATAATAATAAGCGAAACGAAATGGCCAGCAAATAAAAACAAAAATAGCAATATTCAATCAAAAGAAGAGCGCGCGCGTGTTGTGTATATTGTGTACTTTTGCTGCTTGCTTGTGTATTTTGGCTAAGACAGGAAGAGATCATTTGCCAAAAAGAGAAGAGCAAGCAGCGTGTGTGTATGCATACGAGTAAATGTAAATAAAAAAGAAGAAAAGTGCAAAGCGAAAGTTCCATTGTGTAAAATCTTGAGTGCGTCCAATGAAGCATTTGTTTAACTTTTTTTTGTTGCTTGTGTTTGTGCCTCACTCAAGCCAAGCCGCGTGCGTGTTAGACAAATAAAGGCAATTGCAACGCAAAGCGAGACCCACGGACTACAACAATCACAATAACTGCAGTGAAAACAGCAACAGCGACGAGCAGCGAAAGAGCTGCAAGCGGAAAAGAAAAAGCAGAGCAAAGCAATTCTTTCTGTTTCAAGTGAACTGCAATAAAATTCAATTGTGTGGCCAGATGTGTTTAATAAATGATTGCGATTGTTGCGCCAATTGTATATTATTATGGCCTTGTTGAATAAACTGTTCTTTCCGTCGGTACCAGCAACACCCACGCAATCAACGCCAACAACCCAAGCAACAGCAGCAGCAACAACAACACCCGCAACGCCGCTAAATTATGGCCAACAAACAGTAGCGGAGGCGGCATCACGTACACACGCCTCTGCCGCTGCCTCTGCTGCCGCATCTGCCGGCAATAATAGTTCGTCGTCCGGCAAATCAACTCAAACATCCAGAAATTATCTAAGGTAAGTGTTTGCCTGATTATTGCACACTATTAAACATCGACACGTATCGTGCTGATAGTGACAACTAACTGCACTATTCGTCACGCACCCATCTCTTATTTGAGCTGTTAAATCCCAAACAGCTGGTATTAAGGGTGGCGAAAACAGGCAAAGGCGCGCACAACAACCCCCGTTGCTCAGAATAGGCAGCTGCACATGCACTCACCGAATACAAAGTACCCAAACACAAGTAGTGTAAAGAAAGCATATTGACTGGGTGGTGGTGGTGTGGTTCGCCTCGTCTTTATCACTGTCAATTCGCGGCGCTCTTTTGTATCTTCCTCTTTGTGGCTTGTACGCAAATTGGCGAACGTAAATGGGGACAATAACCCAACAAACATTTTTGGCAAGTGCACGCGCTTCGATTCTCGTCACGTACGCCAAATTGCATCCCTTGTTCTCTTTTACTCTCTCTGTCTCCCTCTCTCTCTCTCTCTGTGATATTCTGATAACTGGAGAAGTCAAAGTGCAAGTCATAGGTGCGCCCCCAGTCAACAGCACTATTACTTGCCCACTGCTTCCCAATACACTCCCCCCTCCCCCATACTATTTTCGCCGTTAACGCTCTTTTTGATGTTCGGCTAGTTTCACTTCGTTTTGTAGGCGAGCGAGCTCTCTTGCTCTCGTTCTCGCGCTCTTGTCGATCGGCGAGTGTGTTTGTATGCATGGGTGTGTAGCGTCGGCATTGGGGGCAGCGAAACAGCGGACGTCAGGCGTAAATGTAAATAAAAGCGAATCACATGACTTGCTAATCGGCGTTCACAGTCGCTGCCTGCCTGCTCTCGTGATTATTATGTCATACACACACATTGTTGTTGTTGTCTTTGGCACTGCTGGGTGCCGTATGTATGTGTATCTGAGTGTGTGTGTGTGTGTATGCATCAATACCCTTACTTTGCGGAGGATATTTTGAGTTCATCACGTTTGTGTTGTATATAGTTTATGTTAGGGTATCTGTGATTCGCATTGATACAGTGCCTCGGTTTGCATTGCATTGCTTTGTTGTTTTGCTGTTAATTCATTTAATTATTATTTATTACTGTTTATTTGCTTATGCTGTATGCTGAACTCTGCGCGCTTTTACAATGTTGATTCTTGACGCTTGCACTTCGCCGTCAGCAACTGCTCTGCTCTGATTGCGGTCGGTCTGTCATTCTCTCTATGCTCTGCTTTGTTTGTTTGCTTGTGTGTGTGTGTGTATCTATGGGTTGCTCGATCAAAAACAGCAAGAGCAACAACAACCACAACAAATATAATAACAGCTATTTCAATTGTTCATTTACAATTTGCATTTCCCCATTCAGTTCAGAACGTGCGCATATCGTTTGCGCAGCGCTTACTTTTTGTTAAATCGATTATACCGATCACAACGTATGTACACACAAATTTGTAGATATATTTATATATATTTGTGTATGTATGCACTAGATATTGTATGCATGATGAGCATGTGGCGAGTGTACGGAAGGGGGCCCCCCATACACCCCAAACCGAACGTTTCAATGCCCGATAAGGCACTAAAAGGCATTTTGGCACTTTCAAGTGTATATTGGCCAATTCGTTGCTTCACAACTTGCTAATTAATTACGGGGTTTTTGCACTTTGCTAAATGTAAACTTCAACTCAGTTGCAGCGAGCTGTTTGTCGGCTTTCTAGGGTGTGCAGGGGGGTGGAAGGTAGGGGGAGTACAGCACATTGTGCTAGGTCAGGTTTTTGGCCGCTGTAAGCCAAATAAACACAGACTGCTAACAGTTAATGTTCATTTATTAAATTATTTATATTTGGCGACACGCTTAGGTAAATTTCCATTAACTTGCCACTTGGCTGTGTGGGGTATATGAGTGTGTGTGTATAATAATACGTTCTACGTTATCGTTCATGGCTTGCGACTAAATGCTCAAGAAAATACTCTGCATTAATTTGGTTTTTTTTTTGTATCACATTTTGCGTATATTTAAAAAAATTAATAATAAAATAAAGCTCTACTGAAAGTGTGCGAAAGGCATAATAAAAGTAATCATAATCATGATGATAACTATATGTACATGTCTATATGTCTACTTAACTGGCCAATATTTACGTTCGTCAGCCAGTCAGTTAGTCAGTTAGTCAGTCATACGGCTGCTCCTCCCCCCTCACACATTCACACACTGAATCATGGCTAAATCGTGTCCATATTTAGACTTTTGCTAGTCAGTTGCTGGTCACATGAGCATTCAGCAGAAAAGTATGCGAAATAACAGAATAGCAAAATATATATATATAGTGTATGCATATACATATATATATATATATAAAATAAATGTTTGGCAAAACCAAATAAAGAGTCACCTCATGGATCATCGAATGCTACACTAACCCATATACACACACACAATGATATCTATATGGCGTGTGTGTGTGCAGAGTTATTAGCACATAGTTAATAATTCCTGATAAATGGATATGTCTATATCTTTTATTTTTGTACTTTTTTTTTTTTTTTTTGTGAGACTTACAGTGTGTACATTGTGAGTGGCCAACTTTCACACGAATAATAAAATCAGACAGAGCTCGTGGCAATATATCTCTATATAGCACACTATATAATCAATGTCTATGTCCACAATTAGCACTCGATTGTGGAAACTTTATGCCAACAATCGTTTTCATCTTTATTGACAATGTTGCACGGGGCAGGGAGGAGGCGATGGTTGGGCTTATCGTGTGAAATACTCGATTTATGTATTTTATTTGATTGCTAATTAAATTCCATCTTCTTCGCACATAAATAAATCAATCGACAAAAATGTTATAAATAATTCGGTTCTCGTCGACCCTTTTGTGCTGTGCGGCCAGCCGTGTGCCAAAAATTGATTGTAAATTGATAAGTGTGCGCAAATTGTTTAAACAAATACACATGCACACACCCACACCGCACACATCAATCATTAGCGCTTTATAGAAGATATGCACGTAATCCCCCCCGACTTATGTGGTATTTAATTGTTATGATTTACATTGGCCCATTACGAGATCATCATAATGTGCCACGGTGGGCGCCCATTTGTCTGTCTGTCACCAGTACCCATCATTGGTGAAGCTTTCTTTCGAACACTGTGCACAGTGTGTACATTGTGTGCATATTTGTTTTGATTATTTTTTGTTTGCTGGTTGGTTCACTGCTTCTTGTGGTGCACCTTGTATGGAAAGATTTGCGTCGCAGCAGCAGCCGCCTTGTGCCTCGTGCCTTAGTGCAAACAATCACCCTGTGCCCATTATCAGTGGGTATATGCAATCTTAATGGGAGTGTTTGTTTGTTTCCATCTACATGTGTGTGTGTGTGTGCGTGTGTGCGTGTGTGCGTGTGTGTCTCTGTCTCGCCATCAGTAAATAACAACTAATAAATATGCTGTTGACTTTTGGCTGACTAGAAATATACCTCAGATATGCCACGAGAGTAGCATTGCAATAAATAAATTATTACTCAAATTAATTTCATTTATTTGCATGCTTATTCATATTTATTTATAATATTTACATTTTTTATTATTTATTATTATTAATATTAGCATACCCCACTAGTTGTTGCTGCATTTAGCTGAGTATAGATAGTCACATTTAAATGCCAACGTTGTCGACTTTGCCACTGTGGCTTCATGTGTGAAGTCTCGTGGTCTGCCAAGTCATATGAGTGTGTTGTCGTCGCAGTTGTTGTTTGTGTTCTTGTTGTTGTCTGTTGCTGTATTGCTAATGTAGTTGTTATTGTTGTCCGAACTGATAGCTAAACGCGCTGCGTTGTCTACTCAACTGTCGCTGTTGTTGTCTTCGTCGTCGTTGTTGTCGTTTGGTATTTATCAGTTAGCAAAATTGCTTTTGCTTTTGCTTTTCAACGGCCAACGTCAAATTAGACATAATACCCAAAAGTAGAAAGTGCTGCTGTCAGCTGTAAATAATGCAAAGCCCTCGCAACGTCAAGTAGGACTTTTGTGCAGACCCATACACACACACACACACACACGCACGCACACACACTCACAAGCTTATATCTTTGTCATATAAATCACTCAGAGGCAATCAATAGAATCTGTTTGCATTACCTTTTTCAGCTGCTGATTTCTGTACTTGAAGTCGATGATTAATCAATTTTATTTTGTATAAATTTATAGCAAAACTTGCTCAATCAGAGTTACATATTTAATCGTGATAGCAAAATGTAGCCTTACTCGGATTTATTACCAAGAATGTAAGCAGTACCAGATTTATTGTTTGTACTCGCTGTTGTAAACTGATATGTTTATAATTATTTCTTATACAACAATGGATATTTGTGGAAAGCAAGTTATTGCCAAAATTTATAGAAAAATAGAGTGTAATTTGAAGCGATAATAAAAGACTGTTTATTATGGAGTGTAGTTCCGATACTAAAGCTATTAACATAGGGAAACAGTTATCGCAATTTTGTACATATGAATATGTAAACATTTCTATGCTCAACACTATAAAGTGTTGTAATTTAGTTAACCCGCTCTTTTGAAACTGGCTTAAAGTGCTATTAGTCGAGATATTTGCATCGATACATAATTAATTGATTTCCGCAGTTTTTAATAGTATTTTAAATGTTGCCGGCCTTGAGATATTTGCAATTAGTGAAGATCAATCGACTTTCGCCGCTCTTGAGCACCTATCGAGCGTTGCCAGACTTTAGACATGCTCAATAGACTTTCGCCACTTTCAAACACTACTTAACAAGTACATTAATCATTATTCACAAGTTTTCTTTAGTTTAGTCACCTTTTTGTTTCGCTTTTTTCTTTTTTCTTCTGTCTTATGTATTTTTCTTTGTTTTTTTTTTTTTTTGTGAACCGCTCCCATCTTGACTCATGCTGTACAACAAAAGCTCACGTCACATGACCAAAGGTAAAAAGAGACGCAATTTACCTAACCCCCGGCCCCCAATCTGGAGTTAGTTTGCTTTTTGA